CCTGAGGGTTTCCTCAGCTCAGAGCCTGAGCCCAAACATTAATGAACTTGCACCCAAGATGAGATGCCAAGTATCTGAACTAGCTTCACAGAGCAGCAAACTGAGTTTCAATGGATGTTTCCTTCTGCACTTGTTTTCTTGCGAGAACAGGGCATGTTTGTTTTTTTCTTTGAGGGAAATTGTTTTGTTGAAGCTGTTGTTGGCCTGTGGAGAAATGTAATCATAAGAAATGACTCTGGAGAAGCTGCAGATAGAGCCATAAGAAATGAATGCAACTGATTATTTAATGTTTAATGTTGGCAATCATTGAAGCTTTGTTAGTTCCAGGTTTAATATGTGCAATAAGTTCATTTCAATAAGTTTTGCAATAAATATTGAACCAGTCCGGCCCTCGAGTAGTACCGATTTTTTTATTTTGGCCCACTGTGTATTTGAGTTTGACACCCCTGTCCTACACCTTCCTTATTGGATGAAAGACTTGTTTGAAATGTGTCTGGTAAGAAGCTGTAGGAATGAGAGGAAGTTGTGAGGAAGAGCGTTGTGGGCTTCATGGCCACTGAGAACTCTCCAAGTCCATTCTCTGCTTCTGTTGCTCGTCTCTGCAGCTCATTGTAATCTGAGTGGGACAGCCAGCTCATTGTCCTCACAACCAGACAGGCTACAATAATGTGTTCTCTGTCTGCTGTGACATATCAACCCCACAATCAGGGACTGTTTTCAGCGCAGTATATTGGAAAGATTGCATTTCCTTTCTTTTTTCTACCGGAAATGGAATATGTTTGGACTTTGTGTTGTTGTGTTGATAAAAAGGATTTATTTTTCTACTGATGCCGAAGGAAAACAAACTTTTGCAGTTATTAATGATGGCAAAAAGGCTGTTGCTGTTAAATATAATACACCATATTCAGGATTGGCAGTGCTCCTCATTATTCTCTGGTTGCTGATGTACAGCTGAGTGTTACAAGGATAGATGCACATTGGACATTGTTGCTGCTTTTGTCATGATCGTTCCTCCTCATTCCAGCAAACACATCGACTGATCGACAAAGGTGCTGAAAAACGTGACTCAGCATTTCCTTGGGACAGATTCTTTTTTTACTTTATGATTGCAGCCTCGGTCAGAAGATGAATTTGCACCCTACAACCAATCAAAGCCTGCCTTCATATATCTTTGCTTTTTGGGAGGTATAGGTGTTGAGTATGGCTGCAACAATTATTTGTATTCCAATTGGGAGTATTTCAATGTTAAGTTGCGTCAGTTCAAAACTCAAAGGTATTCAATTAAATATGATACAAAAAGAGGAAAGCAAGAAATATGATCCACATTCAAGAAGCTGAAAAGCACCTTCCCCGACATCAATGACTAATCGACGTACATCCTATTCTTATTCAAATTGCCGCTGTTCAGGACCACAAGTAAAATAAATCTAGGTCTAGGTGAAAAGCAAATAACGTCCTCTCAATACAGAGTTCCTCATCAGACAGCAGCCACAGTTTACATCGCTGACACACCTGTCTGGATTAACAGGTAGAAGGAATACATCTCATGTGGAGTGCTTGGTGTAGGAGAACATACAACGAGACCAAAAACAATCAGAAGTGCTAGTAATGTTAGCTTCATCAGGCCATGGTCTGCCCTGTCAGCAGCCTCTCTGCTTGGTCAGCAAAACAACACATCTATGTTATGATGTAACACTGATCATCTGTCTCTGATATAACCCTGCAGCCTGTGATGGACAGGCTCAGAGGTGAAGGCAGTATGAAGGAGACCCCCCTCCCTCTGTCTCACCCTGCCTGTCAGGCAGTCCACATTATTATTAAGAGGCTCCCCCATCCCACGAACCTTACCATCCTAAACGTTCTGGTAATCTCTCCTGACTTTGTGCTTTTATTCTTTTCTAAAGGGTACAGAGAGGGGAGAAACCCTCCGTGTTATATAATGTGTGTCAGAGACAGATTACTGGTGACTGCTGATGTCAGCTTCAGCAACTCTGCCTGCTGTCGCAGTGTGGCCTGACCCCTAGTGCTCACAGGAGGGAGCACATGCTGCATCCCTCAATGGACCTGACCGTGTGTGTGTGTGTGTGTGTGTACACTGACTGTGATCAATAGTTCTCTGTTGATGTGCTCTTTGTAGCATCGGAGATCAGGCAGTTAGCTCCTATACTCTTCATGTGTTTGTAGCGGCATTATTATAAGGAAATAAAACCAAAAATGTAATTCAAAGGAAAACAGCACATGGGGAAATTCTCCAAGTCTAGGCAACAATATCCTTTTCGTACATTTATTTCCGCTTAACGGAAATACAATGAAAAAGGATTTCAGGTATGGTTGTCCTGCAGCCTTTCCAATAATTGTTCTTGGATAACCCAAAAGATAATTTGCCTATAGTGGTGCGCTGATCCCACCCTTTATATATACAGTCTATCCCACCCCCAGCCTCCTCCAATATATACATATCACCACGTTCCTAAATCACACAGTGCCCAAAACTGCCTTCAAAATAAAAGGACAAACAATTACTTTAATGTAACTAAAATAATTGCAATAAATAATTATACATTTAGTATAAACAAAAAGGGCTAAAAATGAATGTTAAGAGTATTAATGAATACAAAATCAATAAATAGCTCCAACAGTTTTAGGTTGTCCTGAATGAAATGACAGCCTTTTCATTCGAGCTGCTCTGTGGCTGGGAGGGCTGTTCCTTTTATTCTACTTGATGTATTCATTTGACACGTTTCAGATCCACTTGTGTGCTGCACAGAACCACTAGCAGTAGTTTGAGGGACAAAGGGCTGTTCAGTCCACTTTTGGCCCCCAGCTAGTTTTGCCATCTTGGATTTAATTATCACATTTTTGTTTTTATTATATTCTATTTCATTTGGCTTCAAAACGTTCTCACTAAGATTGCACCAATATCACCACTGTGACCCTTATTAAAGCAAATAGCTCTAGTAGCATTTCAAGGATTTGTTCAGGTTCTTCAAGGAAAACATTTCAAACTAAATTCTGATGGATAACAGATTTGAGTGGCCAGGATAGTATCTAGATGCAACAAGCGTCCATTCAAGTATTTAATGGGTTCTGCTCATTTCAGGTTCTTACTTTTATTTGGTGTTTTACATGCTTTATTTGCATTGACACTTTGGAGCGTACAGACTGCACCTCCATTAGTTTTGTAACACTTTTAGGGCAGTTCAATTTCACCGGTATCTGTGGCTGCTCAGCTTGTGGTCGTACTGGTGTGTTATTTTACAACAAGGGTATGGAGTCCTGCTTAGATGAAGTACAGACAGAGTATATGATACAATATATTTACATTTAAATTCAGCAACTGCAGTGCAACACATGTTTAATATGTGTTTATTAGCCTGCATTGGTTTCAATGAAATTGGTGTTTTTCGCTGCACATAGCCATTGATTCAGTTGGCATGAGCTGTTTAGTGTGGTGAATTGAAACGGAGCACAAACTGCACCCAACTGGCTCCAACCGGCACTGTTTCAGAGAGCCTTGTTATTAGTGCAAAGAGTTTAGTAAGATCCTTTTATTCCCCCTTTAGTTCCACTCGGAGATCTTGAACCAGTGTAAGCAAGAGTGAATCAGATTAGCTTTCCGATGTTGCAAAGTCGATTTTGTGGGACTGAAATATTTATATTGGGCAGCGAGACTCCCAAGGGTCTATGCAAAGCTGTTGACATCTCCCTTCTCCTCGGATACACTTTAGTGTCACTCATAAGGGAGGTTAAACTCATTTAAACAGGTCTTACTGACTAAAAATGTAAGAATGTCCCTCTTTAAACACTAGAAATACTACTGAATAAGTGTATTCGTACACCTTTGTATTGAATATACATAATAGTACAACAATAAATATATATATATATATGTCCATGTCCCTTTGCTTTCATGTCTGCAGTAATGACCTCACTCTGAGGTATACAGTATTGACATTTGTATAAAATACAGTAGTAATATTCAGTTTTACTATCGCTGTAGTATGAGTGTGTGTAGTGGCTAAGTACAACAATAGACTCCTCCCTCTCTCACCATGAGAGTCCCTACAGTCCAACAGCATCACCAGGGATGACACAGACACACACACACACACACACACACACACACACACACACACACACACACACACACACACACACACACACACACACACACACACACACACACACACACAGATAACTGAACTCAGAGACAAAGGCTGAAGGGTCGGTTAGTCTGGCACTTTGTCAGAGCCCAGCGTGTAACAGAGGTACATGCAGAGCAAACACCATACACACACCCACACACACACACACACACACACACACACACACACACACACACACACACATCCTGGGTGGTGAAAAAGAGGGAGCGTCTCAGAGGGTGCAGCAGAGACATGCTGAGGAAGCTGATATGCAAGAAAATCTGCGACCGTAAGAGCGACGCCTTTTTAATCTCTCCTTCTTCCCTCTCTGCTCTCTTCTCCGTTTGGCTCTCAGTGATTTCTGTCTCATCTTCCAGTCATGGCTCTGAATTCTCTGGATCTCTTTCCTGTGTCAACCTGTTGCCTCTTTGTCCCTGTCCTCCACCTGTGTTCTCTGTGAATCTGAGTTGCTGTGTCACCGTCATGGTTCTTGTAGCAGCAGGGACATTTAGGGAGCTGGTTTTTGTGTATGAGCTTATCAGTGTTCTGTGATGTTGGCATGTCGGATGGATGGATAGATGAAGGTTGAATGGATTCAGAAACACAACCGGACCGTTTCCCTGAGGCAGAGGTCAGGAACACAGTGACTGGCAGATTAAAGAGAGCAGAATGATGATGCATTCACCCTCCGCCCAACCGTTACCAGGAACAACATGTGTTCATGGATGATGGAGGAATAAGGATTTATTGATCCTTACAGGAAATATCGCTCACAGTCATCGAGACATCACTTCTCACTGTTTCAAATCGAAAATCCCATCATCAAATTTCTCTTTTCTCCCTCTGTGGTTGCAGATAAGAATTTTGAGGATGAAGACTCAGTGGATGGAGGCCGGTCCTCCTCCTCTTCATCATCCAAAGCACCCCCCGGTGGCAGGAGGACGGTTATCAGCGCTGTGCGAAGACCCAGCTCAGCCTCCGCAAATAAGCCCACAAGTGAGGGATACACACAGCTGCAATGTTATTACTGTCCAGTAGTTCAACAAAGTCATAGGGACCTCCTTTATAATGGATGTAGTAATGTTTGGCTGCATTTTGATCAGATAAACACTTTCCTTCTGCTTCAATCATTCATATCATTTCAGGAAATGTTTTATTAAGCCAAAGAATATTAAACCTATAGCATATTTTGTCAAAGCTTATTTAAATATTTTTAAAATAATATTAATTTACATTCCCAATACTCAAAAAGACAATGTGAAAGATCTAGACAGGTATTTTAAAATTGGAACGAACCAAACATCAAAAATCTAAAAGAAAAAATACACTTAAGAATAAAGAACTCAAATAATACAATTAAATAAAAAAAACACAACAAATGGTTATATACAAAATAAAAAAGGACAAACAATAACTCCAAATGTAAAAACATAACTCAGATTAGGCTGGCTAGTAACATGTCTACCTTCTTTCTAAACCTCTACACCTTTCTTTAGAAGGGCTGTTGAATTTCAGGTCCAATTCTTTTTTCTTTCTCTTTCTCAAAGGCAAGGAAGCAGCTGCTGGTGCTGTTGATGAGGACGATTTCATCAAAGCCTATGAAGACGTGCCCTCAATCCAGGTATGCTATGACTACCTATGGTACCTATGCTATGGTTCTGTTAGTCAAATCCAGAGATGGAGTGACAGTGTAGTATATTATGTCATAAGATGGATTTAAACACACTATAGGCGTAGGGCGGGGGTGTTCAAACTACGGCCCGGGGTCCAACTGCGGCCTGTGGTCCGTTTTTATTGGCCAGTAGCAAATTCTGAAAGTGAAATGGAATATTCCCCACCACATGCAACTTGTGCTTGTCTTATATTGTACATCTTAAATATATATGTACGAATATATTACACAGTATTCATGTTTGAATAAGCCTCATTTTCAAGACAAATCTTAGTTGATAAAAAAAGTACGCTTCCTATTCCCTCTGATTATAAACAATCTGAGGCTTCTGTCACTTTTTGTAATACAATAAATGAAACCCTAGTGGCCCCTGGTGTAGGGTAACCAGGGGCCCTGCACTATGCAGGACTGCACAGCTTATCATCCCACCTATTGACACAATGTGCCGCATTTTGATTTGATTTCCTTTTGTTTGAAGTCAAACCACTGCATGAAACTAGCTTTTCTGATATCTTGCCTTTATTTTGAAATGCTGTGAAGAGAGAGGGAAGGCTGTCAATCAAGCAGTGACAGGTGAACTGCAGGTGAACCTGTCAGCGTCTATACCCTGCCCAACTGGGAACATAGGGAGTCACCACAAAGGGACAAGCTATGCAAATGAGGCACAATCTGATGGAAACAAAGAAAAGGAAATGCAGCTACCACAAAAACACGGAATCTACTTATAACTATGTGAAGATGGTTAAAGGATTCTCAGTTTTTATGAGCAATTTAGTTGTTTTTAATATGACATGAAGCAACCCAGAATAGAAATGTTTCTGATAGGCTTCTTGTAAACTTAAATTGATCTCTCTGTATTAGTTGTATCCTGGATTGTTCCGAACAAACATCATCTTTATTCCACTTTTGATTTGTGGGATCTTAACACACTAAGTAGGCATTATGCAAGAACCACTTATGACCACACACACATTCAATGAACACAAATGAAACGCTTCTTGCTATGTATGTTAACGTGGTAGCAGCTAAAAAGACCCACACCGATTGAAGTTCACAAAATTGCATTTACTCACACACAGCTGGCATCCACCATTTAGTCAATCAATCAAAGTGTATTTATTAGGGCTGTCAATCGATTAAAATATTTAATCGCGATTAATCGCATGATTGTCCATAGTTAATCGCGATTAATCGCAAATTAATCGCACATTTTTTATCTGTTCTAAATGTACCTTAGAGGGATATCTTTCAAGTTTTTAATACTCTTATCAACATATGAGTGGACAAATATGCTTTATATGTTTGTTTATTATCATTTGAACAATGACAAATATTCTCATGAATATTAAACACAACAACCTCTGAACATTACAAATATTCGCCTCAATTCAACCTGGAACCTCTCTCATACAATAATACTGTGTGTGTGTGTGTGTGTGTGTGTGTGTGTGTGTGTGTGTGTGTGTGTGTGTGTGTGTGTGTGTGTGTGTGTGTGTGTGTGTGTGTGTGTGTGTGTGTGTGTGTGTGTGTGTGTGTGTGTGTGTGTGTGTGTGTGTGTGTGTGTGTGTGTGGAGACACTGTGATGAATCGTTGGAGCTCTGTGCAGCTCAAGGCATATATGCTCGAATGGGAGCTGCCTGGACGCTGCAATCATGTTGCGCGTACTATCCGTGCTGTGTGTGCTGACTTTTCGTACAATGTCCCACTGTCTGGCTACCTGCATAAAGTCAAGTGCTCGGCGCAGTTGTCGGCGAAATGTCATTGAAACAGCTCCTTATATCCGTTAGCGCAGCTAGCTAGCACCAGATGCTAACAACAACAACAACACGTAAGGTGTGCCTCGCTCGCGCGAGTCGCGCCACACATACACACACACTCCCTCCCGGTCCTCCCGATGGCCAGTCCGGGCCTGCCAGTGAGCGTGGAAGTGTGGTCTGCCACAAGCGGGCGGCAGGAGCGGGGCTGTCAGCATCAGCTTGTCGATGGTATTTTACACTCGATGCGCTCTGAAACTACGGCGGCCGAGGACAAAAAATACACATGCGTTAATCGCGTTAAAATAATTAGTGGCGTTAATTTTTTTTTGCGTTAACGCGTTATTAACGCGTTAACTTGACAGCCCTAGTATTTATATAGCCCAATATCACACATTTTAAATTGTGTCGTGGGGCTTTACAGTTGTTAACATTGAGCTACAGACTTGGAGCATTTGTATGTTGTGAACTCTAACCCTAACCCTCTCTCGAACCTTAACCTTTAAAGTATACACAGTACAGTATAGAAGAGCTGATTCTTGGTCTAACACTGTCCCTCCTGTCTCTCTGGGTCCAGATCTACTCCAACAGAGAGCTGGAGGACCATCTGGCCAAAATCAGAGAAGTGCTTTCTGATGAAAAACACGACTGGGAGCACCGGGTTGTAGCGGTAAGACTCAGAAACACACGCACGCATGCACGCACGCACGCACGCACGCACGCACGCACACAGGGTGTTACATGAATCCAGGTAATGAATACTTACGCATGCCTTTGTCTCTCCTCCAGCTGAAGAAGGTGCGTTCTCTCCTGATGGCGGGGGCCACAGAGTACGAGGGCTTCCCTCAGCAGCTGCGTCTCCTGGAGGCTCCGCTCAAGCTGTCGGCCAAAGACCTGCGCTCACAGGTGGTGCGCGAGGCCTGCATCACTCTGGGGTGAGAGGAGGATGTACTGTCCCGTCCACGTTTCTAAACCACACAAGATCTGCCAACAGTTCAAATATTTTAAACTATTTCGTTTTGGACAAAACTGAAACATAAACCAAAAGGGTGGCTGGTGCTTGTGTGCGTCTGTCAAACATAGGATAAACTCTAGAGATGAATTTAAGTGGATAATCGTATGTGTTGCAGCCAGAGATAGTGTTGGGTTTCTTCACTCGTCGCAACTTTATTGTGTTGTTCACAACGAGTAAAACTTTGAATAACCACTTATTTACTTTCCTTCACTGCTCAGCTGCGGGTACACTTCAGTCAGCCCACTAACAAACTCTGTTACTAATTATCAACCCCAAACAAACGCGTTCTTCTTCTACTGCTTCTTCTCTTGTTTCCTGACAGGTGTTTCCTATCTAAAGCCCTCTTCCACATCTTCCTCCTTAACTAAAGTTCAGGGTTATAGATTAGGAATTCTCATGCATGATAGATTCTGCAGTTAATGAGAGCTAGGCACCAAGGTGATCAAGTTTTGCCTATCTTGTTTTTTTTAATTATTTTGGAATCTTAATGGTTTATGTAGCAACTTCAGGAACAAACTAAATAAGTTGCTGATAGTCTGAGGTCGGTACAAAAAGCTGTGAAAGCTGTAACCATCTGGTGTCTTGGCAGCGGTTTCTTAATGGCTTTGATTGACAGCTGAGATATTAACTTCTCTTAACTGATTCAGCTATGCCAGGAAAACATTTAGAATATTTTCTTTCCAGAAAATTAAGCTAATGAACATGAGCCCTGCTCGGGTATGAAACGAGCAGCATGCTCTCCATCCAAAAACATCCGTCATCCAGATTTGAATAACACCCTGATGAGATGGAACCGAGCGCAGACACACAGAAAGAGCAGCAGGTTGATGAATGGATCCAATCATCACGTGTAATGTCACCACGCTGTTCGCCTGTCAATCCTGTGCTTCATTCCCAAGATCAGGAAGGAGTTAAACATTTCATAGTGCCTATAACATTATAACACTATCAATTCAAACAGATCAAAAATACAGATCTATAAAATATAAATACTAATCACAAATTACAGTAAAGTTAATGTTGGCAAGACTGGTTGCCCAAAATACATGTTAAGATCAGCTGGAAGCATATTCCAATGTTTGATGGCCGTAAAAGAGAAAGCAGACTGGGCAAATGTAGTGCGCCCCAGTGGGGGGTCAAATCTGCGTTTAGGGCAGATCGTGAGGCTCCGCCCATTTGTTCAGAGCGGAGCTGGAAGAAGCTTCTCAATGGTGGTGTACTTTACCTCTCTTTGCTATGTTGAACTTGAATTTCCTGACTATTTGCACGTCACGCCTTCGTTAAAACAGGAATATGGAAACGGTCAGGGCCATTTAACACACCTGCCACAGTCCTGTTTGTCTTGTGAAAGAGAAAATATATAACACATCACCATGAACGGATCATCTTTCGGGGTGAACACACTTCTTTAACACCACTCTCTTCCCCTCTTCTCCCTCTGGCAGACACTTGTCTTTGATACTGGGAAACAAGTTTGACCACGGAGCAGAGAGCATCATGCCCACGCTGCTCAACCTCGTGCCCAACAGTGCCAAAATCATGGCCACGTCCGGAGTGGCCACCATCCGCCTCCTCCTCAGGGTAAGCATCCAGAGGGGGGTGTGGTTCTTCAGACCGCCTGTTCATTTTCCATTCAGCCTTATTAGACCCTACGTCATCATCATGTGAGGAGAAGATCATTGTAACTAGAGATGAACCTTACTTTTGAACTTTTTCTTCCAGCGCACACACTACCCACGTCTCATCCCCATCATCACCAGTAACTGCGCCGCCAAATCAGTGGCAGTCCGACGGTAAGGGGACAATAATGCTACTACAGTAATAAGGAATCTACACTACATAATGAAATGTCATTTTTATTTTTTTAATTCTGTTCTTGTTCCGTCTATAGCAGATCAGCAAGAATTAGTTGGTAGAAAAATGACCAACTATGTTTTATAATCTTAATTTGAAGCCCTAGTGTAAAGAACAAATCCATCTTTCACATTCTCCCTGCAAATACAGGCGTGTTATGCTGTGTGTGCTGCATTGCTTTAATAAACTGACATGTACATATACAAGTGTTTTTTATAGCGGCACTTCTCATGTTATATATCCTGTGTCATGGTGTTTCTGTGTCTTTCTCCCCTCTGCAGACGCTGTTTTGAGTTCCTAGACCTCATGTTACAGGAGTGGCCCACTAACACATTGGAAAGGTAAGCCGTATTCCTCTTCAATGCAAATAACATCTAGGTGTTTAACAATCAGAAGAGCAAGACGGACAAAGAAAAGAAAGATATATATGAGAGGGGTTGGAAAAACTTAAGAAAACAAAAACATTTGAATAATTTATTAAAATAAAATGGTTCAATGAGTCCAAACATATAGTGACAATGACTGTAGGTCTGCAAATGACAGCATCAATTCAGCATCATCCAGGAACAGACACCACATCTTCACCACCTGTCAGCAGAGCCATACACCTTAGTTTATCTACTTTTAAGGGCTTCTTTACAAACATAAAATGTGGCCTGACGTTTTTCCAGTCTAAGTGAACTAGGCTGCATGTTAACAAAAGGATATCTTGTAATACGTTTCTCTAAGAGGAGTATGTCCTGCTGGATGTTGAATGTTGCAATCAAATTCTCTCACTATTTGTATTACTTTAGTAAAAACACATTTGCTGTTTTCTCCAAAAGCACCATAGCACTTGGAAAGCCCGCAGTGTGTGTCAAATGGATGAAGTGGTGTAGGTTATGTGTGTGTTTGTGGGGTGGAGGTAAATGCCTCTTCATCTTCCTCCTCTGACATGATGGCATTTGAGTTGGCTAACATTTGCGTTAGCTGTTGGTTGGATGCACCACTGATGAGGCCCGTTCAATTGATGAGTCCTGAGAGAACCATCATCATCAGGACCCCCAGTGATAAGGCGACTTTCCATCACTGTAACCATGACAACCTCCGCAAAAGTCTTCAAAAAGCTTGTGAAAACCCCTGTGGGTGGGCACTCTGTCTGTGGACCGGCAGAGGAATAAAAGAGGGAGAGGAAGAAGAGAGATTCTCAGGACTTTTGAGCTTTTGAGGTCTTATCTGGACTTCGCCCTGCTTGTCTCCTCACTATGTTCCCTTACTACCCCAGACACGTGGCGGTTCTGACTGAGACCATCAAGAAAGGCATCCACGACGCTGACTCTGAGGCCAGATCCATCGCAAGGAAGTAAGTGTCATCGCACCGGGACTGACTTTGGTTTGTTTTTGTTTGATGAGACAACCAACTTATTCATCATTTTAAATAGTTTGAGTGTGAGTTGCAGAGTGCTGGAGATATCCACTGGAGAGATGTCTGCCTTCTCTTAATTAGAGTGGAGCTTTAGTGCAATAAACCTGCAATGTGCAATATAGACACTTTTTTCAGTGCTGTGCAATAATCACTTATGTTAAAGACATACATTGTTATAAATGTCATTGCCAATATTTATTTGTATTCTATTATTACTATTATGTGATTTTCTTCTCTAATTTAATAAGTTAGCTTACTCTTTATTATTGCTTTGTACCTGCTTAGCCACTTATGCTGTAAGCATTTCCCCACTGGGACGAATAAAGGGATTGTGATCCTGATTCTTCATGGCACCCAGATTGTGATGCTCCAAGCAACACAAAGTATATTTGAACAACTCAACAGGAATCTTTTTTTTTTAGGAATCATGACCTGGTTGCTCAAGATAATATGAGCAGGAACTACTTTCTTTATACTCAACTATACCACACAACTCTAACACCACAAAAGGAAGCGTGCATCCACCTCAGAGAAACATTAAACTGCTCTGAACAAAGCTTGTGGGTTATCTTCAGTAACTGGGTCATGATTTATTGAAAGAGACAGTCCTGTGGAATTGTTCAAATGTGTTCTGTTTTGATCACTACATGTGCATCTTGGTGTATTATATTAAAGAGAAAGACAATATCACCAATACTCAGCATCTCACACCAAAGCAATTTGGATTTATGAAGCACTACAGGTAAGAGGAAATGTCTTTTTATTTTGGGTAAACTTTCCCTGTTAAAATCTGTCTTCCTCTTCCTCCCCTCGCCCTCACCTGTAGATGCTACTGGGGTTTCCATGGTCACTACAGCCGGGAGGCGGAGCACCTGTTCCAGGCGCTGGAGTCGCCCTATCAGAAGGCCCTGCAGTCCCACCTGAAGGGCTCTGACAGCATCGTGTCTCTGCCGCAGTCTGACCGCTCGTCCTCCTCCTCCCAGGAGAGTCTGAAGTAAGAACTGTGATGCTCTCTTACTCTCCCATCCCTGTCCCCTGTGTTCCATCTGCACTCTCTGTTCCACCATGTTTCCATATCTCTATCCACCTTTTCCTATATTCTGGACGTTTGCATCTATTTGCTGTAATTGATTGGAGGAATGAATTAATGCTAATCTGTTTTATTGAATATGTCTGTGAGACAGGGGTAATTATTATCAGACGGGCTGCAGACCCAGCCACATGCACACACACTCTTGGATCGACTGTTGTCATTTACACAGTTTATAGACTCCCTATGGAGCGTGTTGACTAATGACATTATACGCAATCCATCAGGACTGCAGGTGTGTGTTCATCAGTGTGTGTGTAAAGCTAATGTTTTTATGAGACAGAGTTGTACATGACCCGCTTATCATAATTGTATTTATAAAAAGTTCCCTTGTGGAAGACCTGTGAGGCAAATTATAAAACACATATTTCTGGTGATCCGGTTTCTGAGTTTGATCTGAATAGATCTTTTTGACAGGTAAACATTGTTCCTGACAGGATCATGTTTTCAAATGTCTTAACTTTGTTTCTATATGTTTTCAATCCATACATTTCACATTCATACCTCCTATGAATTGTTCTTGTACTACACCTGTCTACTGTTGTCAAATGCTCATTTGATTAGAATATGATCTACATAAAGGCTAATTAGTGTTAATGTTTGTGTTTTTCAGCCGGCCACTGTCTGTGAAGAGTGTCATTGGAGGGAGCATGACAAGGAGTAAGACACCTCCTGACTTTCTATCTGTTGGGGTGGGGTTTCCTCTGAAGTAATAAGCACACTGGAAGAATTAGGCTCTATGCTTAAGTTGGTATAGATAAGGCACTAAGAGACATGCTCTCTTGATCAAGACCTTGGACCTTTATTTACCCCGAGTCAGACGGCAGTATCATTCCTGTTTATTTGCAGAGCTGAATTATTCTATTTACCAATGCAGTATGAATCCAATTTGAAAAAATAATAATATTAGAGGGATCAAAAGAAAGCTAAAATATCCTGATGCTGATTTATAAAAGTCTGAATGTATGGTTTGTTGAGCCTGGTCTTAAGAAGACAAGCTAACAACATTTAAATATCTTGTTTTATGAATACATATCAGATCGTTGTAGCTCTATCAATTCTCAAAAGATGTCCTTAATTAGGCATGAATAGGTTTATGTGAATAGATACATATATACACTAATCTATTTGTGTGTTTGTATTGACTTGGTATGTAATGCTTAGGCGAAACGTGTGGTATGTGCTTGATGAGAAAACACAACCCCATGGGCTTCAGGTTCCAGACTGTTGTCACAGTTGTTGTTCTACAGTCTCATAGCAGATGGCTCAGAAACTCCTCCTGTTTGCTCTTTGGTGGCAGTAAAAGTAGAAAATTAAGAAGTATATGTAAGTGATGCAGGATGCTTAAACAGTCTCAGTGATATGAGTCCTCATGTGTGTGCTGTTGTAGGTAAGCTGGTGGCCAGCAGGGTGTCTCCTTCATCAGGTTCTCTCCAGCGTTCCCGTAGTGACATCGACGTCAACGCCGCCTCCAGCTCAAAGTCCCGTCTATCCACCGTCCCCGCCTCCTCGCCCTTCAGTTCTGCAGCGGCCCTCCCCCCCGGGTCCTACGCCTCATTAGGTAATCCATCACTCACCTTCCTCTTAACTTCTCAAAACAGAAAAACTAACAAACAAAAAACTAGGCAGCAAGAAATAACTCTGCCATTCAGCAAAACTCTTCACATGCTGGATTCTGAATACAACAGTGTTGAGATAACGTAAGAAGAACAGGAATTAAAAAAGCTAGTGTTTAGCTAACTTTTATTAACTTAACCTTTGTGTCCCGTCAACTGCAACTTACCACAAGTTTCAAATGCGCCATTATGGCGCATTTCCATTACAGCGCGGTTTAAGCGTGCCGTGCCCGGCCCGTTTTTGGTTGTGTTTCCACTAGGCGTAGTTCCGGCTAGCGGGTACTTTTTCACAGTTTTCTGGCTCTCCAAAATCGAGGTTCTTTCCGGGCCAACAACCGGGCTGAGTATACTAAATTAGAGAGAGAATCGCTGGCAACTACAACAAAATGAACATATTTGACCGTGATTTAATTGTAATACACGTTTCAAAATGATGCCGAAGTAACAACATACTGATACCGGTTAGTAAAAACCATGAATTAATGCTTTGTCAAGTCTGCAGACAGACGGCAGGCGAAAAACCTTTTAAAATGCGTGTTTTCTAAATGGAGATTGGCTAAGCTAACGCAGTATATGCTCCGACCGTCCACACTCACAACAACGGCCTATACAGACATAAATAAAGCAGCGACTGTATTCACCATGACACAGACAGTCTGTGGTTTGTACTTGTTTAACTTTTGTCTAGTTTCTGAACATATATGAGGAGCTGTGAGCTCTGAGTGCTAACAGCTAACGGCTGATGTTGGTTTTGTGTTTCGCATTGAAGATGACGTCACGGCTCCGCCTACACTGCGTTACTATAGTTACTACCCCAGTTCTTAAACTGTAATGGAAACGCAGCATAAAGTGAGCCTGGCCTACCAAGGCCTAACTATACCGTACTAAGCTGTGCGAGGCCCTGCAGTGGAAATGCGCCATAAATAACCCCATATTCTGAAATAAAAACATTTAGGAGGAAAACAGGAAGGTCTAAATAAAAACTGCAATGTTGCAGAACTGTCCTCACAAAAAAGCCTCTCTCAAAGCAGTATTTCACGTAGCTACGTTTTTTTCCGGAGGAAGACTCAAGCAGTTATTCTCAAAGTCTCCCATCATCATGAGATATTAAAACACTTTCTCCTGCAGTCACTGGCTTTTACGGGCCTGACTGGAGTTATAAATGAGTGCTGAGGCTGTCATTAGACTGTTCTGTCAGCAGGAACTGTTTAAATCCTACACTGACACTTCTAATGTATGTGATGAGGCTGAGTAGCTTCTCAGTGCGATTAAACCCCCAGAAACTTTTTAAGGATGTTTTCACAGCATTTTAAGCTAATGGCTAAAGTTCACGCCATCCCCCACCAATATATGAAATGCACTGTAATTCTGTTGGCCACGCACAAACTTCTCCCCCTAACTTGTTCTTCTCGAGTCCCAGTAGACAGATAATGGCTGTTACTAATGATGATGAGGCCCCCTGGTCCCCCACTCACTCCTGCTTTAATTGCTACTAACGTCTGCCTGTACACCTCTCCTCCCACTCGCTGCTGCACCGCCTTTCTTAAAAACCCAAAAGATGGCACTCCTGGTAAAATCGATGGTAAGACGTGTGTGTGTGTGTGTGTGTGTGTGTGTGTGTGTGTGTGTGTGTGTGTGTGTGTGTGTGTGTGTGTGTGTGTGTGTGTGTGTGTGTGTGTGTGTGTGTGTGTGTGTGTGTGTGTGTGTGTGTGTGTGTGTGTGTGTGTGTGTGTGTGTGTGTGTGTGTGTGTGTGTGTGTGTGTGTGTGTGTGTGTGTGTGTGTGTGTGCGTGCGTGCGTGCGTGCGTGCGTGCGTGCGTGCGTGCGTGCGTGCGTGCGTGCGTGCGTGCGTGCGTGCGTGCGTGCGTGCGTGCGTGCGTGCGTGCGTGCGTGCGTGCGTGCGTGCGTGCGTGCGTGCGTGCGTGCGTGCGTGCGTGCGTGCGCGGGAACCACAAAGTGAAGGTGTGTGAGAGTGTCTTTTTGTAAGCTGTCACAGGCTCCACGTCTACATCCTGTCTCTCCTCATCTGCGCCCTCTTTTCCTCTCCTTACCCCCCCAGTGGTGGTCAGTTATGTGGAACTGCATGGACTGTCTGCATGGACTTCCTCTTCCTCACTGTAACCCTAACAAGTGTATCCATCCACCCTGTTACTCACACAGCGATCAGGTCCAGCGTTACTGATTCATACAGCTGCGTTATGTTAATAGAGGAGGTTGTCGTGATCTTTTTTTCTTTATTGATGTCTTTTACTTTACAGAAATTGATGTTCCACTGTAACGCGTTGCAAGGTTCCATCACCACATGTTTAATCCTAGCAAATACTTGAACTGTCCTTAGTTTTGAGTGTCCTCAAAAATCTGGTCAGGTGGTGGACTGTTCTACTGTTTAAACTTAGTGGCATGACAGGAACATAGCATCTGTTTTGTGATATCATGTAAGGTTTCACACTACAGATGCTTTACCCTTTCATCAGTCACACACAAGTCTAATCAGCTGATGGTCCATTTTTAAGACCTGAACAAAAGAAGCTAGTCACTGCTTTACTGGAGGGAAAAGGCTATGGCTCAATTATACCGCAAATGAAATGAAAGACTGGTTAACGCTTCAAAATAACAAGTGGAGTAATAACTGAGATACTTTAGAAAATCTCTCAAGCTTGTGTTAACCAAACACCTTATTTCTGGCATCTTACCAAAAGGCCATTTACAAAACCCATTGACTTTAAGACACTTGAATCAGAAGTGCAACAATGGTGACTCATCTCTGGGTCTTAGGACTCCTTCCTGCAGCTTTCGGTATGGTAATGTGTTCTTTGTTTTAGTTTTTTTAAGGAAGTTGACACTTAAAAATCTCCAGAAGAAAGGGGCCAGAAATATTTTTAATTCTTTCTTAAACAAGTGTTCTTTGGGTTGTATTATCAAGTAGTATTAAGTGACAATACTGAAACTGCTTGTTAAATATGGCTTTCTTGTTTAGCGTAGCAATACCATAGCATGCTACATTTAGTCGTTTCAAATTTAACGAGTAACTAGCCTCCCAGTTCAGTGAACTGTCATGTCATGTTGCTGCCTAAAGCCTGAAGCTAGCCTTTGCTTTGCTAGCCTTGCTGTTAGCGGCATATGTTGCTTTCATTTTGATTTGAAGTCGACAGATGACAGAGTGTTTTTCCACTCATTATTAGAAGTAAAAATGTCCCAATTTTTTTCATGTTTGCAGGTTTTTTTAATCATATATATATAGGCAGATGAAAAGGATGTTCAATGTATGTCTGTCCTTCACCACACCAGAGTCGAAAAAGTTTGCCAATATTTCTCACTGTGCGTTTTAGGCACACAAGTGGGATAATGTCACTTAAAAGTCACTTATGTGCTCTCCTGTTGCTCATGTAATAACTGTGCTTATAGGCACAGTTATTACCCCACCCATCATGAACTTTGGTTGCAGGTTAAAACGCACGCTGAGAATGATTTGCAAACTAATAGAGCCAGGTGTGTCTGTTTCCCTGCTGTGTGTTTCAGGGGGGCTTTTTCCCCTCATCCAGGTCTTCTTCATCCTGTCTCCCCAGACTTTTTCCTCTCCAGCATCTCTGTCCAGTGTTGTGGTGAAAGTCATTCATGTGTATTAAACCCCCCTTGTCGTCCAGGTCGAGTCCGTACCAGGAGGCAGAGCTCGGGCAGTACGGGGGGGGCCAGCCCCTCAGTGGTGGACAGTAGGGGACGCAGCCGAGCCAAAATCGTCTCCCAGTCCCAGCGTACGTATATACACCCCACACAGGCTCCCAGTGACGCTGGAGATATAACAGAGTACTAACATTACACACATTCAGCCTTACACAGCTATGTTTGTGCCTACTGTTTACCAGCCTGTCACTCTCATGTTTCCGTATGATCTTGTCTGCATTGAGATCATACTAGATGTGTTGCTGTTTCTTGTATGTGTGTTATTTTATCTTGAAACCACTTCCTGTCACAAATCGTTTGTATTTGTGCAAGTGTGCCAACCTGCATTCACAGTATGTTGGCATCTATGTATTCTTGTGATCTGTCGGTGGGCTAAAAAAAACCTGAGAGGCAAGTGAGAAAATGTGGGGATCCGAATGTCTGATCTAATTGTTTTCTCTGCTGTGTTTATGACTTCAGAACAGTTAAGAAACGGGTTTTGCAGGGCCAGTACAGAGTGGTGCGATGATGAATGTTTTTGTAGGACGACCCCAGAAGTTTGCATTGTATAAAGTCTTTAGCAAACAAACGTTAATGATACTTACACGTTTTGTTCAGCAGGATAATCTCCACATATTAACACCACTTCCATGACTTTTGATTTAGTAAATGCAATCGCCAGAAGTAAGTATGGCTAAAAAACGAACTCCATCACTGTCACATGGCTGCACATCACCACTGCTCAGATAAAGGTGGACTTGTGTTTGGCGTGTCGATGTTTAGTAGTCTCATGTAGTCACTTGTTAGCAAAGAAGCTTCAGATATTCAAGACATTTACTGACAGATTTTTGTCATGAATCAAAAGGTGGAAAACTATTCAGCTTGTGTTAACCACAGATCCCATTTCAGGCATGCAAACAAAACACACACAACAGAAAAAAGATGTCTTATTAATGAACACAGGAGAGGAAACATTTGAGACCATACTTAGAAAATAGATTTGTTTTAATTCTCGCTTGCCACTCAGGGCTTCTGCTGTTAATCAGGTCACAGCTAACATGCTAACAACCCAGAGTGCATGCTGGGTAAAGTCAATAAACATAACCCCTTCTGTCTCATTTTGACCGTTCTCCACCCTATCCTGCCTATTGCCTCCATCACCCAGGATCCAGATCAGCCAATCCCATCAATGGTAAGGCCTCAGCTTCATCCAATCACAATTCAGGAGCTCATCACAAAGCAACTCCTTCTTAGAACGTTGCATGCCCGTCCATTCTCATCACTGTTTTACCTTTGTTTCACCATGTACATTAGGGTAGCAGCATGCAGATGTTTCCTCACATTCATATTTTTATTTCTGATAACCTTCCCCCACAGTTTGAGCGCTGTATGGAGTCGGACATGTTTGCCATTTTGTTGTCTTTGTATTCTTTGTTTTCACTATTGAAGTTTTTCCACAGTAATTGTCTCCCCACAGCAGAGTTACATGTGGTTCCTGCCCCCCCCTCACCCCGTGTGTTCTGTTGACATCCAACTGTCGTGTTGTCATTAAAAAAACGTATGAATTCACCTTTCAATCCGTCAAAATCCATGACATAGGTTAAGACTCCACACTGAGATGAATAAATATAGGAGAAGACACTATAATATGTCACAATACCTTTTCTGGTGTTGCACTGTCGGCAAAGCATCTGGTCTGCTTCCACAGGGCTTGAGTTTTGAGATTAAACTGAGCATGTTATTGAAGGTTTTACCCTCCTTACTCCTCTCCCTCAGCCCCTGGATGCTGTGTAACCCCGGTACGTGTCTCTCTCCCACAGCCGGCAGTCGCTCCAGCTCCCCGGGGAAGCTGCTGGGCCACGGCAGCTACGGGCGGGTCCCTCGGGTCTCGGTGTCGGCCTCCACCACGCCTGCTGTCAAGCGCGGCCGCGTCCCCCGCAGCCAGGGCTGCAGCCGGGACACCAGCCCCACCCGCCTGGGCCTCGGTGAGAACGGCACCAAGCACACACGTCTTCAGTGACAGTTAGAGTCTAATGGGTCAAAGTCTAGAGAAGTTATTTACTGTGGCTTGCATTTGTAAGACAGAACTAACTGCTAAAACAAAGGCGAGACACAACAGGCATAACCATTGTTTTTCCATGCACTGATCTTGCTCGGTAGAAAGAACGTTTTTGTCACTCTTAAGCCAGGTAGTTTCCCCAGTTTTCCTATATAATAATGAGTTAAAGCAAACATTTGATCAATTCTCACCTAAATAAGAGAATGCTTTTATGAATATTTAAACATAAAACTAATACATGAAAGTTTCATGTTGATATCTATTAGTTACATCATGTTTGTGTAAGCATTGATTTCATTTGGTGAAACCACCGGCAGCTTGAGTCGCCTGCGAGTGTGTGCTGAAGGCAAAACATAAGACACTGTAATGTGATTTATGACATTTGAATTTGTCTACTTCTTGTCAAATCCGCATTTAATTGTGCAGGCAGTCAGCAACAAGTCAAACACTGACCACTCGCATGCTCCACGTCATACAAACGTTACACAGAATGATGCCTAAAACATGTGAAACTGGACCTTCTTTTCATTTCTTCCTGATGCAGAGATAACCTTGTGTTTGTTTTGTCCTTTGAAACCTTGCAACAGTCAGACACTGAAGCTCAGACTGTTTCCGTCCACCACAAAGCATTGTGGGCTTATTATTTGCACAGACAATAAGGCAGAGGACAAAGACAGCAATGTCTGTTCTGTTAGTTTTCTTCTCGTCATGCATAGTTTGTTTTCAGCTACACATTCATCACAGATCCATTCTGGTGTGTGATTGGTTGAGAGGCAGTGGGGGTTGTGGGTGATGTAGTGTTTGTCATGAAAACATGTTTTTTTTGCCACAATGTTGGATATTTCGTATTAATTGAGGTTCCTTCACTTTGGTTTTGTTTTCAAATGTGGTAATGGTTGTTCATGTTTACAGGTTTGTTTTGACGAGAACAGGATACTGTTTTTGATCAGTGTTTGTCCTTTTCTCATTTCTGGAGTCCTTGTCACCCGGTAACAGAAGCTGGAGTTGCTCTGTGGAGTCCAGTCTAACCCGTACTAGCAGTATGCTGTTTGACCAGCTCACTCACCAGCATCCTGGCACTGACTCTGTTCCTCTTCCTGTCTTCACTTTCACTTCTTCTTCATCTGCTTCTTCTCTCTCTAGACCCTTTTTGTCCTCCTTTATATCTTAGGCATCAGAGCCCCTGGAGGACATTTTTTCATTGATCGGTCTGTGTGTTAGTTCACATAGAATATTCAAATAGTGATGGTCATAAGGTTTGCAGAGTATAAAGTATGTCTTTATGATCCTGCCTGTCACATTTTTATTCAGGGCAAAATGCTAAATTGGCCTGATGCAACATTTCTGAGTCTTTACACCTCTCTTCAGCGATGTTGCTTGATTGTTTCAGCAGCATAATGGAAACCCCCATGTTGATATATAAAGCCATTGTTATGATATGTGTGCGCAGATTACCCTCACAAAAATGTGACATGTAGTTGTGTTAGTTGGCTAGTATACAAGCCATGTCAGAAATAAAGAATGGTGTTTAACAGAACATGTTCCCTTAGACAGCAGTGTGTATACAAACCTTAACCAAGACAGAGTAACTTCTTAACTTGACACTGTCAATTGTTTTTCAAAGTACTCATGCCATTAAATCCAAAATGAAAAGTTATCAAACCTCTTTAGAGAGGTAGAGAACAGTCTGCAGGGCTTCTTCTTTCAGAATCTCTCCTCCTCTTCTGCTCCTCACATCTGTCTCCCTCATGAATGCACTGACCTTCCCACCTAACTTGTTGTCCTGACAGCCAGCCTGTGTGGTAAAGCTCTTCTTCCTGCTGCTCTTCCCTACCGCACGCTAGCCCGGAGCCGCATCCCCCGCCCCAGCATGAGTCAGGGCTGCAGTCGTGACACCAGTCGCGAGAGCAGCCGCGACACCAGCCCTGCTCGGGGCTTCACTCCTCTGGGTGAGTACCGCTCAGCTCATGGACCCCCTTTCCCAGTGAGGGTCCCGACTGGAGAGTCTTCCCAGATGCTTACACAAGCTTTCTCTTTTCCTGTTGGTGTTATCTGTAGCATGCTTTCTGTGTCTGCCTGTATTTATCTGCGCATGCACTAATGATGTCTTCCTGGGTTTAGAGAATGTACTGTTTCCAGTTTCTCTTGTATGGAAGCTTTGAGAGCTGAGTGAGAAATGAAATTCTGGTGATCCATTTTCAAATTCTGATCTAAATAGTTTTCTCTCCTGCACTTAAAAAAAGGAGTTTGGCCGGATTATCTATTAATAAATGTCCACATTTGTCCCATCTCCACATAGGTGCAGACATAGTAGGTGGGGGGGGGTAAAGTGTTGGTGTCAGATTTCTGTTTTACTTTTTATGATTATATTTTGAATAGGCAAAATCTGTGAAATGTTAACTTCTCAATGCACTCAGAAAACATGAATGCTTTAGTCATTCAGAACAGGTTGTTGCCTTTTTTCTTTTGCCAAAATGAGCATTACAACAGCAAACACATGATACTAACAACAGAAATCATTTTCACTGAGAGCAGAATTTAGGAACTAAGGAAGATAACCCTGACCAAACCTGCATTTAACAGGAGAGAAAACAATTCAGACCAGACTTAGAAAAGACATCACCAGAAGGATGTTCTCTCTCTGTTGCCTTTCAGACCCTTTGTACTTTGAATGATGGTATAAACGACAAAGTACCATCGTGGAATCTACCTTCTTTATTTCTGAATGTTTTTGAGCTGGATTTGCGTATGTGAATGATTTCTGAACGAACCTGTGAACATGTTGTGAGTCAAGTGCCGTCTTGAAAGATGGAGGAAGATGAAAGGTGGACGGAGATAAACAGCTAGCAATAAATGATAATTCAAGAGCTGATTGTGCCCATGCAAACAATGCCCGGTACTGCAGCTCATAGTTATTGTGCTGTTGCATTCTGGGAAATGATATCATAACTCAAGTTTGTTTTTCACACCACTAGGCTGGTAGTCTTAATTTCAGTACAGATGTCTGTTGCAGTTCATACCACATGTTGAACTGTATCTCTGTGGCCATTGCTGTATCATAGAACCTGAGAAGCATCTCCCTGCTTTAGAGCCAGATTAAGGACTGTCAGTTTACAAAGTGAAGACTACAATGCTGGTATGGGTTATGAGTAATGGGCTACATCCTTCTCTACCTAACTGTATATCCAATAGTAACACATGGAGAAGGGACCCTTTTTCACACTGCAGAGCTTAATAACATCTCTGTTAAGGCCTCAAAATAATCAGTTCTATATTTATAAAAAAGGGTGTTTAAGCCAGCAGTGATCCTGTTTGAAAGATTAAGGGGTTATTATTAATCTCCTTTAATGTCATATATCAAAACAACAACACTAATTTCAGGTTGAAAACAAGAGTCACATTTTCTGTCCAATTCATTAAGATTCCAAATTAAATATAACACACCTGTGGATGAGGCGAAATAAAGGAAGCTCTGACCTAAAACAAACAACTTTATTTTGCCACTATAAACTGTCTAAGTTATTATATTATATAAAACAGGGGGAAAAAAAGTCTGTGTGCTTGAGATCACTCATGTTTGTTGTTGTAATAATCATTTCAGACACAAGAGGGTGCCCTACTAGTAGTAATAGTGGTGCACCACTATCCCATGTTCCAAATTGATCTTAAGTCATTCTTGATGTCATATTGATATGTTAAAAATATATTTCAAACAAATGTAAACACATTTCAGTTATGTTTCTTAAACTGCTAACTTAAATATATGAAGCTTGAGAGCACATGGAGAAATGTAAGCATCAGTGCGGGGTAGTACAGGCTCTTCAGTCCCCTTGGGTCACAATGAGTGGTACAAGAAAATAGATCCTGTCAAAAGAAAAGGAAAATCACCTGCCTATACTTTCTTTTCACCATGTGTTCAAAGAAAGAAAAAAAGTAATCCATTGCCTCTCAGGGCTCCTGTCAATGTGCAGCAGTGGTGAAGTTGCTGCTGAGACTGACCTTCAGAGGCCGGTGTTAAAGGTCCCATGTCATGGCCATTTCTACTGATAATAATTGTTGAGGTCTACTAAAATAAATGTATATTGTGCAATGTTCCAAACTCACATTGGTTTCTCATACAGCATCTCTGTATAGTATGTGTATTCACTCTCTGTCCTACACGGCTTGTTGGAGCTCCTGCCCCCCCCCTCCCTGTGAGCCCAGTGGCTGTCTGCGAGACAGCGAGACACCGCGGAACTCAGCCTGGGCACACACACACACCCGCAGCCTGGCTGGGAGTGTGTGTGTGTGCCCAGGCTGAGTTCCGCTGTGTCTCGCTGTCTCGCCGACCCCACACCAGTGAGCCAGCTCACACTGTCCCGCTCCTCGCAGCAGCGAGCCTCGCAACGTCCCGCCAAGTGTGTGTGTGTGAGGAAGTCCGCGGATTGGTCCAAACGTAACGTCACTATACCCGAAATACGTCACTATACCCAAGAAGTAAACAATGGAAAAAGAGAAATCTCCAACGAGGCGTTCTGGGGCAGCATAGACAGGTCTTTTCTGTGTTAGAGTTTTACTCGCTACAGGGTGTACTTTGAGGGTTTGTGACTCTGCAGACCGTTTACATGCAGAAGCTACATAACACACAAGGGGACGGGTAATAACCGGAAAAGCATGACATGGGACCTTTAAACCTGTAGTGTGTGTCACTAACCCCCCCGCCCAAATGTTGCCCACCTCTCCTGCAGCCTCCCGACGTCACTCCCGTTCAACCAGCGCTCTCTCCACAGCCGACCCCCACAGCCAGTCAGGTGACCTGCATGCCCAGAACCCCCCGACCCCCCAATCCCCTCTCAGACCCCCCAGGTTCCCTCTTAGAGGCCTACTGAACCAGCATGCCTCCGTGTTTATGTTCAGTGATGTGACCTGAAGCATCCACCACCCTTTTACTTTAGAGTGTTTTTGAGCATTGCACTTAGCATACAGGAAAGGTAAGAAAGGCCAGTTGTTTTTGTTTAGCATGAAAAGAGAAACATTAGGTTTTCATCTGCTTGACCTCACCTCATTGACTTTGATTTATAGCTGTGATTTCTGTGGATGTATGATCTACAGCATTTTATATGCTGACTCAGCTAGCTTTACTTTTTGTTATTTGCCACTTCTCTTGGAACTGTCTCAGTTGTGCCTCTGTTGTTTTCATTCTTGCCATTTAAGAACATATTAGTGTTGTTTCCTCTTTGGTGCATCTTTGGTGGGCTAGGTCATCCTCTCTTTTAGTTGTTCTTTTCTTTCTTCTTTTACTAGAGAACATTTCCCTTTTGAGCTCATTCATCTACAGTGCATTGCTCTTTGTTTTGTTACACAAGAGAGAACCCATTCAGGTAAGTTGCAGTGGCCACTTTTGCTTTTATAACTAAGATTGACTTCCTATCTTTCTCATGCCCCTTCCTGTGTAGACCGATATGGTTTGATCCACCAAGCCAGGATCTCTGCCTCTGTCAACGCCATGAGGGTCCTGAACACCGGCACAGAGGTGGAGGCAGCGGTGGCTGATGCTCTGGTAAGCTGCTGTTACTGCTTCATAATTATGTTGTTATTGACATGTGATTGTTTTTGAAGCAAACACTAGGCAAGGGTTCATGCAACTTTGTTTTTATATAATTAGTTAACTGTATCCAACGTTTGGCTTAAATCTTAGTAAATATAAAGTTCAGTCAGCCACATCACACGTGTAGCTTCGGTAGCCTGGAAGCTCATCGGCTCATAATTACAATATTGCAAGTGATTATTTTTTATCAAAAAACTTAACTGGAAATAATCATTCATTTTTTCAATCCTTACATTTTCAGCCAATAATTTGGATCCAGGTCACAATCTATTAATCATGATTAAGTATATTACTAGTAACTTTTGTTAAATACAGCCCTGGATCGCTGACGGAAATAATATACATATCAAGACATTAAATGAATACGTTTTAGGCCTCTTTGACCACTCTGACCATAATTAAGATAATATGGTCAGAGTGGAACCCTTGTGATACAAGACTACCGGGGGCGACACTCATCATGAGCGTGTAAGAGTTTCTTAGTGTAGCCCCACACAGCCTATTACACACACACACACACACACACACACACACACACACACACACACACACACACACACACACACACACACACACACACACACACACACACACACACACACACACACACACACACACACACACACACACACACACACACACACACACACACACACACACACACACACACAGAGATCAGTGAAAGTGAAATGTGTAGTGTACTTATTGTGTGTTCCATCTTTAAAGCTCCCCTCTCTCATCTTTCCCTCTTGGTTGTTTGTTACCATTTCAGCTGTTAGGAGACTCCAGGAATAAGGTAGATGGTCACTCTACATACTGTTTGTATATCCATGCAGTCCCGCACTAATCAAGTTCAGAAAACAGTAATGCAGCTTGATTTGCTCTGCTGGCTCATGACACCCCTCAACCCTCTTTATTGCTGTTTGATTGAATGAATTTGTGTTTTTCTGTCTTTCTTTTTTTTCACGTTGTAATATTATGTGCTGTAACTAATTGTTTTGGTACATTATTCATATACTTGTTTTAGTTTGTATGAAGTCCATGAGATTAACTATGCTCTACTGTTTGCTGTGTCATTACTATTCTATTCATTTTGGCTTTATCATCGCACTGCTTTACTCGCTCTGATGTTCATATTTCATCAACAAAAATCAAAAGTGAATTTCATTTTCAACTGAGGAATTTACGACAGCGTATTAGAGCCATTACAGAAAACTAAAAAAGATTGCTAGGAGCCGGGGTAATATTCTGAGATTAAAGTCGTAGAATAATAAGAGAAAATAAATATATATATGTGAAGACATTTGTTTTGTTGCCAAGGATCCTGGATGTCTTCACAACCTTATCTCACCACAGCTTTTTGAAGCCATGCGGTTCCTTGGCTATTTAAATGTTTTAATTTGTGACTATTATCTCAGAATTAAAAACAATTCTCTTGCATATTAATGAATTATCAACCACATAGATTATTCCCATTTATTGTCTTTCATCTTTGAAATTCTACACTTTTTTTGTTTTTTTTACTGAAATATTACCCCTTCCCTAGCTCCGTGTATTTACTCTACTATTTAGCATATTATGGCCCTAATACGTATTTACAGAAAATAAATATCACAATTGTGTACTGACTTTCCTTTTAAACTGATAAATAAAATCCAGAGAATAAAAGATGAAATGTACTGAGTGCATGTCTCCCTGATGCAAACCAGAACACATCCTGCAGAGCCTTGTTAACATTTAGGAATCAAACTGTGTGTCACATTTCGATCACGATCTTCCTCTTCCCGCAGAGGAAGCCGATGAGGCGCAGGTACGAATCCCCGGGGATATACTCTGACGACGACGCCAACAGCGACGCGTCCAGCGCCTGCTCGGAGCGCTCATACAGCTCCAGGAATGGAGGGATCCCTCACTACCTGCGGCAGACGGAGGACGTGGCCGAGGTCCTGAACCACTGCGCCAGCTCCAACTGGTCCGAGAGGAAGGAGGGCCTGCTGGGCCTGCAGAACCTCTTCAAAAGCCAGAGGATACTCAGGTGGGCTGGGCTCAGAGGGCAAATATGAGCTTTGGTACTATATCCAGCTCACATACAGTGGGTGAGGGTTAGATTTCAAAAAGCTTTTAACTGAGTGAACAGCCAAAAGAGAAGTTAGACTTGAACTGTTTTGACCGTCAGTGATATTGCACAGTAAATACACAACTATACACATATCGACATATGCACAAACGCAGATGTTTAGACAAAGTATAATGACATCAAATATAGCAAAAAAAGTTGAGGGGGTTGAAAATAAATCGAATGAAGGCCATATAAAGTATAATTTTTTTTTTTTAAACTGGACCAAAATAAATCGTGACGTAAATGTCCAGTGTCTCCTGTCTCTTTATAATATTACAGGTATTGCGTGAACATACTGTGCAAAAATATCAACTGTATATAGAAATATATATAAAAAAAAAAGCAAGTATCAAATAAATTACAGAATAAGTAAAGAGCATAATTAGTGACACTTAATATAAGCCAATTCAAAAAAAGATGTGCTTATAAGTGTTGTTCAAAACAAAAAAAGATGTGAACCCTGCCCTGATGATTCTCTTCTGTCGCTTGCAGCCGAGTGGAGCTGAAGAGACTCTGTGAGATCTTCACAAGGATGTTTGCAGACCCACATAGCAAGGTAAAGAATACGCCTGCACTAACTGAAGCGCAACTAGATAAGACTCAGTGTAAAGGCATGGTGTCTAAAATACAGCGATGGAGCCTGCCTGTTGAAACTAATCAGTGTCTCTTGTTGCATGGCCTGCCTTGCTGTGGATTTAACAACAGAGAGTAAGTGTGTTTTCTATCCATATCACCACCGGCATGTACCTGTCTGAACATGAGCAGGTTCATCCTATTTAAACCTATCGGTAATGAGTGTGCATGTGTGCTCAGGTGTTCAGCATGTTCCTGGAGACCCTGGTGGACTTCGTCCTGGTGCACAGGGAGGACCTGCAGGACTGGCTCTTTGTGCTGCTCACCCAGCTGCTGAAGAAGATGGGGGCCGACCTGCTGGGCTCCGTGCAGGCCAAAGTCCAGAAGGCCCTGGATATCACAAGGTCTGAAACCAGTTCAAACTGTCCGGGTCACAGGGGGGCACAGTAAACATCAGTGGCTGTTGTTCTTTTCCACTGAAAAGAGGGTTGAAATCATTTTTCCTAACATCTATTTAGAGCAGTGGTTCCCAACCTTTTTTTTACCAAGGCACACCTGAAAATATTTTTCGACCACAAGGCACACCAACTTTTCGTAGATTTAAAAACCACTTCAGAGCTTAAACTATAAACAACAAATGGGGGGGGGTAGTGGACAGCGCCACGTGGAGGTCCTGTTCCACTGACAGCCGGGTGCGGGTCTTGTTTTGGACATATGAGTGAGGAAAACGCCAGCTCGCACAGGTAGGAGGTTGGAAACTGTAAAAGCACGTTGATGGCACTCTCTGAGAGGGATGGATACTCGTGTCCCACAAGCAGCCAAAAGATATCCAGACGTAGTTCACCGTGCTCCAGTTTCAGGGAGCGGTCCCATAGCTCTGCGAGTTCATCCTCCTGAGCTCTGCTGTTTAAACTAGTGGCTGATATTAATGAGAGAGGATTAAACGGCTCCCGGAGCCAATCGAAGTCTTCATTCATAGGAGGGAAATATGACTCAAACCTCTCCTCCAGCACTCTCACTCTCATTACTCTTGCAATGTTTTGGCGCGAGGATAAAAAGCTGCTCTGCAGTCTGCACGCTGTAAACAATGACGGCTGACGTAAGTCATGAGAATTTAAGCAGTCAGTATGAGGCTATATTCAATTGAATATTTCTAAATCTGAGCAATATATATGTTTTATTAGCTTATCAACTCCATTGTACATGTAATACATGAAGTGAAGTTTATTAAGTGAGAAAAACATTTGGAACATAAAACAAAAAGATTCTACGGCACACCTGGACATTGCTCGCGGCACACCTGGACATTGCTCGCGGCACACCTGGACATTGCTCGCGGCACACCTGGACATTGCTCGCGGCACACCTGGACATTGCTCGCGGCACACCTGGACATTGCTCGCGGCACACCTGGACATTGCTCGAGGCACACCTGGACATTGCTCGCGGCACACCTGGACATTGCTCGCGGCACACCTGGACATTGCTCGCGGCACACCTGGACATTGCTCGCGGCACACCTGGACATTGCTCGCGGCACACCTGGACATTGCTCGCGGCACACCTGGACATTGCTCGCGGCACACCTGGACATTGCTCGCGGCACACCTGGACATTGCTCGCGGCACACCTGGACATTGCTCGCGGCACACCTGGACATTGCTCGCGCGCGGCACACCGGTTGGGAACCACTGATTTAGAGAAATGTAAAGAGAGTGTGAAAGATTTCAGTTTTTGTGCTTTTCTCTGACTCACTCTGTGGTGAATTTTGAGAGTTAATACATTATTGGCAGCAACATCACAACCATTAAGTAGTTATTTAAAAAAATATAATTGGAGATTTATTTTAGGAATCAAGGAAAGTAGAAAAGAATGGATTCACACAATGTTGTTACTTGTTTTTTTATTTATTATTATTTTACCTTTATATTATAACCCTGTGTAGGATAGTTTTTCACAAAAAAGACAATCAAACATCTGGGATGCAACACAAATAAAGTCAAATGTAAGTCCACGTGATTCCACTATGTTTTAATGCCTTTATAAGCGCGTTTAAGCATGTTTGATCATTATCGGGATTATATTGTGCAGAATAACGGTGACATGATATCTTCATATATTCCCATGCTTATTTGAAGGAGATCTGTTTGAAGGACACATGATTTCCTATACATCTGAATTAGTGATCAATCTCATTATTGAGCAGTCAAGCTTGTTCAATAATGTTCCATCATAGGAAAGCAAAAAGGTAACCTCTCATTTCTTTGTGTGTGTCAGGGATTCCTTCCCATTCGATCAGCAGTTTAACATCCTGATGCGGTTCATCGTGGATCAGACTCAGACCCCTAACCTGAAGGTAAACCCTCATTCTGTTCACAGACCTGGTTTGGATTAATGAGTGTGGTTGATGGAACATTTTTGTCACACATGACTGAACGTGTGCTGTCTCTTCAGGTTAAGGTGGCCATTCTGAAGTACATCGACACCCTGGCCCGGCAGATGGACCCGACAGACTTTGTCAACTCCAGTGAGACGCGCCTGGCCGTCTCTCGCATCATCACCTGGACCACTGAACCCAAAAGTTCTGATGTCAGGAAGGTAGGCCACGTTATCCAGCACTGACTGTCCAAATCTTTCTGCTTGTACAAACCTTTTCCTGCAGAATATTGTTTTTGGTTGTCATCCCATTTTTTAAAGAAAATTCCTTTTGTTCCTAATTTAGGTAATAAGCATTTGTCTAGCACACTGGAGTTATCAGAGAATATTCATGTATTTTTGATTCCTTGGTTAAAACAACATGTGACACATGACATATTTGTTGCTTTAATCCTCATGGTGCAATGTAACCCTTCTAAACCAGAAGATGTAGGGCCCATGAAGAATGAGAAGGGAACAGATTACATCTCACATCAAATCTATTGTTTCTTTATTTATTTTTCACTCAACATAAATTATTTTGTATATATAATCTCCATAGGAAGTAATGCCATACTAAACTATTTTAATAACATTAAAAGTGTGTGAGCAAGCTTAATGCAAAACTAATTGCCTAGAGGTGTTTAGTAAAACGTTATGTAACAAGGTTAAAATAAGATGTGCATTGTGAGTTGACTCCAAGACCTACTGAGTAGATACATCATCTGTGTTTGCGTTAGGAATAATCCAGATTTACACTGGACAGCCAGTGGAATCTTGTAAACCTCCACACATGTTATCATTTGAATTCTTCAGGCTGGATTGTTTGTTCAGCCACAGTAGTAAACTTTGATAAAAGGTTCTCAGTGTGGACGGCCTTCGGTCAGTGGCCCATTATCTTCCCCCTGTCTGACGCGTGTCACATCCCTCCCTCTGTGTCCCATCCTGTTTGTTACACTGCTGTTGTTCATTGGCATACTACAAAAAGGTTAGTGCTAGGGAGGATTGGTTGAGTGTTGCATCCACATGTGAGGTTGGGGGTCCTGTGTCTTTCTGTAACGCCCATATTGCCCCCACTGTGCCCCAGACCCTTCATAGCTGGGTGAGCGAGGAGCTAGCAGGCAGGTCCAGCCCTGCAGCCTTACTGTCCGCTGAGGGCAACCAGGAAGACAGGTGTAAGCAGGTAGAGCCCCGCCAGCAGCCAATCACAACACGATAAGCACGCAATGCCCCTCCTGCCCGGTGCCTAACCACCACCTAGAGACAGAGAAGCTCCAGTGTGGCATCTGTCACTCACTTTCAGGATTTAAGCTCCAGCTGTTTCGCTGTAACAACTTAAAATCCACTCTGTGCTTGCAAATTGATCACTCACCAAATAGATTCCACCTGTTGTGCACCCACAGCAGGAGCGTGGGACCTTTAACCTGAAATGTTTTTGAATAGGACAGGAAATGCTTGTTGCTTTGTATGAACGGACTTCCAAGTCAATTGTATTGATAGGAATGCCGTTTTGTTTCTTCTGTGTGCCTAACACATTTGTTTTTCTGACTCACATTAACAACCTCTTTTTCACACTTGTACCTGCATGTTGTTAACATTCTATGTATGTACAAGAGAAATTCAAAATATGACTCTAAAGCGGGTTATAAAAACGTTATTGTCCCAATAACAGTATTCAAAAGTTATCCATGATTACATCATATTTTATTACATGTATTTACTCTGGTCCGGAGCAACATACGACAAGTCTACATAAACTTAATAGGAACATATTCATTTTAAGAGCAATCAGAATCAGAATCCTTTTGTCCCGCAGCGGGGAGGTTTACATTATTACAACAGCAGGTAGTGCAGATCAAGTGAGGAAAATACAAATTTAAAAAATGACTAAGTATGTGCACGTTATTAATAACACAATAAGTATATGTACACCATGGTAAAATAGCAGCAGTATAATAACTTCAAATAAGCAATAGCTCAGTTAAACAAATCAGGTTTATTCTAAACTCCCCTAAATGTTTGATCTATACTCACTTGCATGTTGCAACATTGATATATCAGCAATGTCCTTGAATAGTTATTAACTTCATTAGTTTCCCACTGAATGCAGCTTTTAACAGTTTCTTTCTACAGGCTAATGCACATGTGAGTCTACTGAAAAATGCACTGAGGAGCTGAACAGTTGGTTTCCATGGTTTCAGAATAGTTTTGACCTTTATCAAAGTGAACCCTTGCCTCAGATTGCTGTTACAAGTTCTGATATTCAAAAAATAACAGTAAATTACAACTGAACCTCTACTTTTTGATCATTATTAAATGTCAGAACAGCGCCTCTGATCCCCTCTGGAGAAAGGTCTGTCGGAAACACATGGTCAAAGTAGTTAAGGAACCAGGGAAACCATCTGAACTTCCTCAGCTGTGTCCTCAGTCCTGACCCGTTGTTCTGAACGTCCTGCAGGCGGCACAGGTGGTGCTCATCGCTCTGTTTGAGCTCAACACCCCAGAGTTCACCATGCTGCTGGGAGCCCTCCCCAAAACGTTCCAGGACGGAGCCACCAAACTGCTGCACAACCACCTGAAGAACTCCAGCAACACCAGCAGCAGTGTGGTGAGTCAGATCAAACACTGTAGTGTTGATAGGATTTGATGGAAGCCCATTTCTGCCAGGAATACAAAAATATTACAATGAAAAAAACAAGTTTCCACAATCACACTTGAGATTACAAATTTGAACATAATTACCTTATGGCCACAGAGAGGCCTTGAACGAATGCATTTGCACGGCAATAAAGTCAATACGAACATCATTTATGTACATGTTCAATCATCGATATAAGGATCGTAAGTTTGGTTACCATAATAAATGACAGTATTTCTTTTTCATCACTTCAGAATTCTCACAGAAGCCAAACTCATATAAAAAACGTTGTATTTATCCCCAAATTCTTACCGTACAGTGCTAAACACAGTTGGGTGTGTGTAGGTCAGCAGGTTTACACCTTTCCATTTCTTCTTGTCTTCCTCTCTTCCAGGGCTCTCCCAGCAACACAATTGGCCGGACGCAGACACGCCACACCCCCAGCAGGACCAGCCCCCTCACCTCTCCAACAAACTGTTCCCATGGAGGACTGTCTCCAAGGTAGCTCCTCTCCCACCTGTTACTGAGCTCACACACCTCCTGTCCCACTGCATGGCTGTGCTTTGGCACTGTAGATACTGCTGCTGTCCCTATTGGTTGGTATGAGCAAGGTACTGTGTGAGGTGCTCAGAGAGGTTACAACTTGCTAGAAATAAAGAAGCCAACCCATTTTCTTCATAGATCAAATAATTCTTCCAAAACCCACTCGGTTGATCCATAACATATGTAGTGCCTTAGACACCAAGCTCGTTGGTGCTGTCCTGTATAAGGCTGTTTCATATAAAAAACTGTGAAAGAGAACAGCACATGTTTTAGCCTTTGTACTTGCTCCTGTGCCAGTTGAATGTGGCCACTGAGTGGTAGGAACAGTTGTATCCCCTCTGCCCGAGCAGCTCTTCCCTGAGTGTTTGTACCTGCTAGCAGAAACCCATGAACACAGATGATTTGTCAACATCATTTCCTGGTTTGAATGACTTTAGTTAATCCTGAAATGAATGTCATAATATTTTTAATTGAAAAGTGCCCCCTCGCTGAAATGTTGTGGGGTTCTGCTACCTTCCAGTTCTCTCCTTTTAAATTTACACTTTCAGTTAACCTACAAGCTCAGACTAGTTTCTTTTTGTCTTTTCTCTTTCTGCACACGTGTTTGTCTCCTTCTCCTTCCTTCTCTTGTCTCCACCTGTTCTTGCTTTCCATTTTCCTCGCCCCACTCTCTCACCCCTGTCTGTCCATCCTTCCCTCCCGGCTGCTGTGGCAACAGTCGGTTATGGGGTTGGGGTGGCGACGGACTGTCAAAGCATCCCCCTGCCCCTCCTCCTCCTCCTCCTCAGCCCCACTCCACCCCTGCTGCCCCCTCCCTAAGGGTCCTCCGCAGAGCATATTCACCCAGGTAAAGAGGCGGGCTCAGACACAGAGGCCATCACAACAGCAAGAAGCCTGACCCTGATCCTTTCATTTTCTCACTGACTACATATTAATCCATAATGAAAATATCATTCACATTGCTTCTCAAGCGGGGTTAATGCTAGGATGTGTGTACATTACATTACATTACATTACATGTCACTTGTTAGACGCTTTTATCCAAAGCGACTAACATACTCAATACTGTGGGCAATCCCCACAGGAGCAATTTGGGGTGAAGTGTCTCAGGGACACAACGACATGCTGACTGCAGTGGGGTTTGAACCTGTGCTCCCCTGATCCGAACACCAACGCACTAATCCACTGCACCACACGCACATGTACAATTCAAAATACACAATGTTCACAATATTTTTCTTTCTAAAAACGAATCACTTTTTCAAAACAGCACTTTGCATGGTGACAAAACAAATGCATGCTTGTGTATCTTCAACACAAATACATTTCTAATACACCGTGTGTGTGTATTTCTCTCTGTGTGTCTGGTAGCATGATGGAGTACGACACTGAAAACATGAACTCTGAGGAGATCTACAGCTCGCTGCGCGGTGTCACTGAGGCCATCCAGAGCTTCAGCTACCGGAGCCAGGAGGACCTGAACGAGCCAATCAGACAGGAGGGCAAGAGGGACGACGCGGTGAGTCAGCACTTTCCTGAATCCTTCCTCCTACTGTAAAAATGACTATAAAGCTTTCAGCTTTGGTTGAATCCAAATGGATAAGACTAAGTGAGACTGCTGAACCCTCACAATCTTTACCAAAATGAGCAGATTGCAGTGAGCTCAGCAGGATCCGGGTACTGTCCCACCCCGAGCTGAACTGGGCCTCTGTATAAAGGTTTTCAGGCAACAGTCCACATCAAATGTTTTGAAAGCTGCAGGTACACATACATCTTCAGAATGCTTTCTCATATTCTCCCACCCCCTCCCTCCCTGTGTTACAGGCAGGAAGAGAGGGCGTAGCGTCCTCTCCTGGCTCTGACGCTCGGCTCGGTTTAGACGTGGTGGAAGGAGGTCGCACCGCTTTAGACAACAAGACTTCCCTGCTCAACACGCCGTCGCCCCGCTCCTTTTCGGGGCCACGGGGCCGTGAGTTCGCCCCTTATGGCTACGGAGAAACCATTTGCACGTATGACAAGAGCGCCATGAAGGAGGCCGTGTTCGACGATGACGTAGAGCAGTTCCGCGACTGTGAGTTCATGTGATAATCAGGCAATAAAAGTGTTTACATGGAGGGAGGGCATTATTGCAGCAGAAAGAAATCATGGGACATCAGAATGTACTATACTGTACTTATGATATTCAGTAAAGAACAATCAAAGAGTTAGAGGCTCTCTTATTTTGAAATGGTGTCCCTTGCACACCCTCGGAGGTGCAATAAGGAGATTTAAGTCATAGCCTGCTTGTCACTTAAACACATTTTTATATTGAAAAGTCTTCCCATGAACCACTGAGATGTTGTGTTATCATTACAATGAATGCATTACATTTCTTCCAGTACTGTAAATGTTGAGCTCTCTGAGGCAAACCGAAGACATTTCTCTCTTTGTTATTCTGTTAAAAGCATTCATTCATTTTCTCCTGTCTTTCATACTGTCTTATCATTTAGTCTCATTGTGTGATGTTGTTTTGACAACATAGAGGAAGACACCCTTCAACTTCTGTTACATACTGTACATTTGAGACATGAAACAAGAATGAGCTCAACCACATGGTTGGCTTTAGTTTGTGTAGCCAGCTTTGACTTTCACCCATTAGGTGGCTAAACGTTGACACAAAAGGTCTAACTCTGCGTTATGTGTACCACAAACACTGGTGTGTGTCTTACAATAGAGGGGCTGCAGTGTGTTTTGTTGTGGTCCTCACATTCTTTGCTCTGTCCCTCACCTCCACCTCCATCCCTCCTCCACCCCTCCCCTCCAGGCCGACGGCAGGAAAGTGGTGAAAACAAGATGGCGCTCCCCAAGGTCTTTGCTCCTGGTAAACATGCCTCACCTGAATACTGACCGACATTTACTCACTCCACTCACCCTCTGTGTGTGATTGCATTATTCAATCATTTCACATCAACATTTATTTTGATGGTCTCCTCACTTCTCTTAACTCCATATAGAACCTGCGTGTTCACTGAGTCAGTGTGTCCTGCAGAACTAGCTATCAAGCTTCTATTCACAGCTGTCCCATTCTCTGTAATGGACCGGATGTATCCAGCTTATTTTTGAAGTGCATATTCTCAGTCATTAACTATATATCTAGATCTAATATATGTAGACATTTGAACCTGCAGAACACATTATATTACCCTTTTTTACTACACACATACATATTGCAGTGATAAATACATAGAATCAGAAATACTCAATGTATCCTCAGTGGGCAATTTGGGTAATGTAAAAGTTATTACCTTTAAATAATATAAATATATAGAAATAAAATAAAATGTGCATGTAGTAATATGTTAGGTTGAAAGTTCATCCCTACACTGTATATGGAAACTTAATTGATATTTATAGTCAAATTCTAACCTTTTTATCTAAAACATTTTGCCTGACACATTCTTTTCTGCTAGGTAACATTTCAGTCCCACAGTCACATGACTGATGAGCTTCATTGCGTACCTAGCTGTTAACTATATTTCATAAAAGTATTTTTCCTCTCTTTAAACAAGTGAGTGAGAGAGATGCAATTTGGAGAGAGATGACTTTAGGAGTCAATTAATTTGCATTCGAAACGGGCCAAACAGCATTTGTTATTTAAGAAGTTGTTATATTGGGCTGTGGCGAGATGTCAGTGGCTGTATTTGTTGATGCTCAATTGAATGTGTAATTAATGTTTACCTCATGCTCTCTGATGCAGCAGGCGGTCAGGACCACTCGGACCTGGTGGCAGACCTGCTTAAGGAACTGTCCAATCACAACGAGCGCTCTGAGGAGCGTAAAGGCGCCCTGGTGGAGCTGCTGAAGATCACACGAGAGGACAACCTGGCAGTGTGGGACGAACACTTCAAAACCATCCTGCTCCTGCTGCTGGAGACGCTGGGGGATAAAGACGTGCGTTACTCAGCGGCTTTGCGTGTGTGTGGCTCCTGTAGAGATCACACACACTCAGACTGTGTGAATGTGTGTGTGGAGGGCATTGATTACCTCTGAGCCTAACATGTACCAATAAGCCTGACACTGTGAACCTCGTGATATTTAGGTATTGAATCAGAATGAGAATCCCTTTATTCGTCATTTGACATTTACATTGTTACAGAAGTATAGATAGAGACGAAACATAACACACTATTAGTTCAAAAGGCATGCACATAGTATTTCAATCAAATAAAAGGAACATATTTACAGACATACACATTCAGGGAAAATAGGAAAGTAAGATACTGTGTGGTAGTGGTTAGATTGCTGTAGTAGATACAATTATATATTTACATAATAACACACAGATTCTTGTTGGAATAGACTACTAAGAAGTAGCAGCCAGTAGTTATAGTAATATTAACTAGGATGAGTGTTGTTGCACAACAGTGGTGTCATAGGTGTCCTTTATTGTAGGCACATATGGATATCCAGCAGGGACATTTATCCATTGAACTGATCACCCTTCCTCTGTTCCCCTCAGCACACCATCCGGGCCCTGGCTCTGCGTTTGCTGAAAGAAATCCTGAGGAATCAGCCGGCGCGCTTTAAAAACTACGCTGAGCTTACCATCATGAAAACTCTGGAGGCTCACAAAGACTCTCACAAGGAGGTACACTACATCACCCTAAAGATGCATTACAGAATGTTCCTCTTCACTTAGGGGCAGCAGAACAGGCTGAAAGGCAAATGACCAAACTGTTGCCCACTTATACATCTGGCAGACATGGAACATGAGCTTTTCTTTGGAGTCATGTTTGTGTCAACGTGATGAAATCAAACATTCACTTTGCTTTTAGATATTTATTTATATCCACAAAAACTCAAAGGTGGGAAAATACCCTACAATTGTGTAAAATCTTTTACTCTGAAAGGTTTTATATAGTGCTCATAGTGCCAATTTTAGTTTTGTTTATGTTTTACAAAGCACCCTAGAGTTGTTGGTTTTAGAGGTTCACTAATGATCTGATTATCGATAGAGAACAATAACAACGGCTGAACTCAATAAGTTAGCCTTTAGCTCAGGACCACTCAGGAGGAACCTTCAGAATGATCCTCCTACACAAGCGGGGACACAGTGGGTAAACACAGATCGTGGAACACACAATACACCGGATAAACAGTGAGACAACACTTTCATAAAACTTCCAGATCAATATGAATCCACAGTTTGGGAGAAAGAATCTGTGCTCAAAGTCTGACAGCCAATTAAACTCATCCATCAATCCATGTCAGTAAATACAGCTGAGTAAAGCTCTCTTTTGAATCTACTGCAGTTGTGCTTTCACCTTGCTCAAATACATACAAAAACTGATATAACAAGTTCTGCTTATTTTTGTTGATAATCTTATGTGTACATGTTGATGTGCTTCAGGTTGTGCGAGCAGCTGAGGAGGCGGCCTCCACCCTGGCCGGCTCCATCCACCCGGAGCAGTGCATCAAGGTGCTGTGCCCCATAGTGCAGACAGCCGACTACCCCATCAACCTGGCTGCCATCAAGATGCAAACCAAAGTCATTGAACGCATCGCCAAGGACTCCTTGCTGCTGCTGCTGCCCGACATCATCCCCGGACTCCTGCAGGTCTGAGTTTAAAACCTACAAGATGTTAGATCAGACACAGCTTTTAACACTAGAACCGCCAGAGGTCGCTGTATACCTAAAACCGCCAACGGTTCAAATGTACCCACTATTGATTTTCAAGGTACAATGTTCTTTTATTTATCATGTAGAACAGTGAGTTTGGATCGCACAGGGATGAAACGTATACCAATAGAATCTGTGGACTCTCAGCTTTTCATATGATATAGTTTGTGCAGATAGCATCTAGTGTTAAAGAAACATAGGTTTGGATTGTACAATTTCTTTTGGAAGAGATTACATTTAATGCTCATACAACCCTGAAATTGATGTTTAGTAAATTGGATAAAACTCACAAAAATGCTAAACAAAAATACACTTTCAACCCTCCTGTCGTGTTCGGGTCACATCTGATCGGTTTACTACTTCCATCATTCATAAACATTGTGTTTCAATTTGATTGCTTGAAGGCCTTATGATATCCTCCACAGTGGGCATTTGAACATATAACATTTCTTATCACCACTTTAATAGAATTTTGAGTGGTTTAGTCAACTTTGTAACACCTATGATGTTCCCTGTCAAAAATGACCTCCATAGGGTTTGAATGGGTAACCCTAGATTATGTTCATCATCAGATACTACACACACACAAATCTACAACCGTGTTCATTTTGGAATACATTTTCAATGTCTATTCTTTGTTTATTCACAAATTAATTGAATGTACACCAGTATTCTGAGACATTGTTTACAGCTCAAAAGGGAGTTATATCAAATGTGGTGATGATTCATGTTTTTTGTGTTAATGTGAGAGCAGTTAAAACAGACCGGTCAAATTGGAGCGGGAACACCAAAGTAAGGGGAGAAACAGACACAACAGGAAGGGTTAAGAAAAGCTAATTAAACCAACTTAAATAAACATTGTTAGCTAGACAAAAGAGTTACATTTGTATTAAATAACAGAGAATCAAGAGTTTTTTGGGGGAAAGGCAGAGTAGAAACGTTCTTGTCAGCTCCCAAAGGTCTTATTTGGACAATGTACATATTTGGACTCTGGGATTATTTGCCTTATTTGTCCCTGGAAATGTTTGCGTGTACTCTGCACTCTCCTGTGACTCCTCCCATGTTCCTGCTGACCCCTGGTGTGTGTGTGTGTGTGTGTGTGTGTGTGTGTGTGTGTGTGTGTGTGTGTGTGTGTGTGTGTGTGTGTGTGTGTGTGTGTGTGGTGTGTGTGTGTGTGTGTGTGTGTGTGTGTGTGTGTGTGGTGTGTGTGTGTGTGTGTGTGTGTGTGTGTGTGTGTGTGTGTGTGTGTGTGTGTGTGTGTGTGTGTGTGTGTGTGTGTGTGTGTGTGTGTGTGTGTGTGTGTGTGTGTGTGTGTGTGTGTGTGTGTGTGTGTGTGTGTGTGTGTGTGTGATGCTGCCTCTCTCCTCTGCAGGGCTATGACAACACAGAGAGCAGCGTTCGCAAGGCCAGCGTGTTCTGTCTGGTGGCTATCTACTCTGTGATTGGAGAGGATCTCAAACCCCACCTGGCACTGCTCACGGGCAGCAAGGTAACGACTGTGCCATACACACGTACACACACACACACAACCTTTTTAACCTCTTCAGCAGATGCAGAGTCTTATCACCTTCCCATGCTGTTATTTCTCAGAAAGGGTCATATTTGCCCTACTTTACTACAACATGTGTCCTTGTGTTATGTAATGGTTGAGGTCTGAGGGTCAGGTTCACCTGTATGGGGGGCCCTCCCCTCAGATGTTTGACAGCTGCTTATCTGAAAGGAGACTGACACACACCGTATGGACGGCTGGAGCCCCGTCACATTCTCTACTTGTACTTTGGCATGTAGTCTTACAGCAAACAAATACTTTTCCCAGCAGTGTAATCATTTTTCCAGAAAAGGTATACAAATTAGCATTCAACCTGATTAGGAAAGTAAAAAACACAGTTAAGTAATAACTTGACTAATGATGTAGTAAAATGTCCTGACTGATACTGATCAACAATTTTTTACTGATAATATTTCAATCAGGAGAGACTTCGAGTAGTTTGGTGCGATGAACATATTTATTTCCATGTGTAAAAGAGGCGAGATAAATCGTCTTTGGCGATTAGACCCCATTGTGATGTGATGGATTCAGGTGGAAGGAGAAACCAACTAGGAAAGGTGATCCCCCGGGGTCCAGATGATGAGAGTCCTCCTGGGCTGTCATGGGTCCTGGATGTGATGAACGGGAGGTGAACGGGCTGGAGGGGGGCTGAAATGACAGCTCACGGGGCAAGGAGCAGATTTAAAGTTTGCCGGATGCTCGGTGATTGGCTTGTGGGAGATGAGGCGGGTCTGATTGGTTAATCTAAGGGATACGCCCATACTTATTGAATGAAAGGATAGAACTTGCGCTGAGCTTCATATTACCTTCCTACCATGGGTGTAAAACCCTTAAATCATAATGAAGAACATTCTGCGGTTCTGTCACTTATTCAGTCCAGCTTCCAGTAAGAAGATCAGGGATAGATCCTCCACATCAAAATCTGTGGAGGTGCAATTCAGTAAAACAAAAAAGGGCAACTTTTTCTTTAATTCAAATTCAATTCAAACCTCTTTTTGAATGCACTATTGCAGAGGAGCAGGAGAGGCAAAGGAGACACTGCTGACCCCGAGGAAAAATGAACATTTCATACAAATTGAATCGACTGTTTGGTGTAACATAAGCCATCTTCTGCAGCTTTTATCACTTCCTGTATTCTAAGATCCACTCCGATACTTCCACAATGGAACAGTGTGTCAAGTACAGCAGTGGACTCCGATGTGTGTCTTGTCACACCACAAAGCAATGCGATGTCCTCTTAAAATCTCCAAAATATGACTATCCATTGTAACCAAAGAGTGATTCCTTACTATTTCATTTGAATCCTCCTAGTAAATCTAGCCACTAATTTACAAAGAAAACATGTCTGAAAAATGAGGATCCATTTTGTACTATTGTTCCTGCTTTCCTCACATGGATCCGTTGACTCTTTGTGTTGTTCCTGACCCCAGGTTGGGAATCACTGACGGACGTAATGGTGTACATGATAGTATAAATAAAAAAAAATCAATCACTGTCAGATTGATCTGCTCACAGCCTGTGGTGTCGATGCATGAGGGATTCTGCCATCAGAGTCACAATCAGAAGACCTTTATTCGTCCCACAGAGGGGACATTTACATTATTACAGCAAAAGTTAAGAGCCAAAAAGCAAATGATTAATCAAGAGGCATGCATCAAATATTGAAGAAAACATTTGAAATAACACAATTGACAATTTCCAAAATACACATCCAGATGGACAAGAAAAAGTACCAGTAACAGTATTTAAAAAGAAGGAGAAAAGTGTAGCATGTATAAAAAACATTACAAACTAGACAAGAAATCTGTACATTGTCATCACTGCCCAATACTTCAAAAAGACGACTTGTTGACCTGCAAAAACATCTTCACACATGCAAATGCTTGCCTTCTGCACAAGATCATCCCTGGCCTCACCTCACCTCTGACAGGTTATTACCCTACGGTCAACTGCAAGTCTGCAGACCTACTGCACTGTACAACCCTCTGTCTGCCTCAGCCTGTTGTTGTCTTCTTGCTATGTAATATGTATGTTTTATTGTTTTTTATTAGTATTTACCGTATTGTATGTTATTGTATGTTGCATGTTTTTACTGATTGTATTAACTTGTAATTTTCAATGAAATAATTGTTGTAATAATCTGTCCAGCGACTACAGAGGAAAAATAGCATCTTGGCTAACTGGCACATTTACAGAAAGGGTTATTAATGTGCACTGTCCCTGCTAAATAACTCAAGTGTGATAGCACTATTAAAAGTGGAAGTATATACTACACAGTTATTTACTGATGTATTACAGCAGGTGAATTGTCTAACTAAGCAGCCAGCAATAATAATAATAATAATAATAATTATAAAGCAGTATATACACATATTGCACATAAGTGCACAGCAGAGATGTTATTTTCTTTGTTGTTATATGTGTGCTATACTTAGGGAAGATGACTGTGGTTGAAATTCCAGAGTGAATCACCTAATGTTGAGAAATAGACAAATGTACAAGTTGAAACCAGAGTTGTGTTATGTAATGAAGAGTTAAAGCATTTAACAGAAAGGATCTATATCCAGCTGGAAGGCCAGATGTTAGCAGCAGCTAGTGCTACAGCATCTGACCGAATCACACAGAACACAAAAGTCCTTTATACAGGAGCGGGAAACAAAGGGACACAAGACATGTTCATTCTAACAGGTAACCTTCGTGCTTTGCCTGACAATAGACAGTCAAAAAGCCTCTGGGTCGCAGCTAGTGAGCCAACGAAGTGTACAAAGAACTCTATGAGACCTAAAAGATACATCTCCACAGTAATGACCGTCTCTTATCTTGTCTCCAGATGAAGTTACTGAACCTGTACATCAAGCGAGCGCAGACCACCAACAGCAACAGCAGCAGCTCCTCGGACGTGTCCTCCCACAGCTAGTGGACAGAAGGACCCCCCCCCCCCCCCCCTCCTCCTCCTCCTCCTCCTCCTCACAACAGCTCACAGGACGTCCTGTCAGAAACCAGTCCTTCAGTTCCTCCTCCCTGATTTTGCTCTAGAAACGTTTGAATGTAACTGTGGATTGGTTTTAGATTGAAGGGGAAGGAAACAACAGTTGATCTCTTTTGGAAAATAGAAAATGTCTCTCTTTCTTTTCATCCTCCCTTTTCCTGTTGAAGCCTGTTTTCCTCCAGCTCTCACACTAGGTATATTAAAGAGTTCATAGCAGACGCCGGGAAATATTCCGAACCAGAGCGGAGGAACCTGTGTCAGATAGACTGCAGTTTGGGATGTCATTTGGCTGGCCCAGTGATGGTAATAAGCCCCCTATGTTTTGGGATGGATTTTGGTTTAGGGAGCTTCAAAACAAAATGAAGACAAAAAAGGACAACAAATCTAAACATTTACAGAAAGCGTACTGTATGAGCATTCTTTTGTTCCTGTTTAACCAATTATAATCTTTGTTTAAAGCTTCTTTTTAATGAAGTGGCTAAATCAATTGAACCCCCTTTCCCAAAAACATTAGCTACTGTACACTCAACAAGGGAGCAGCAAAGATAAACCTTCCAGCTAAATAATTGACAATCCTTCAAATATAGTGCAGTTCTTTCATTTGAAGATTAAATTGTTGAACTGCACAATTCAAGTAGAATTTGTCTTGAAATCCACACTCAGCAGAAGACGTGTTGTGAAGCTGTGCTGCCCCTATTCTCCCACAGAACCTTCTGCACTCCTTTTGTTGGACACTTTTGTTAAACACGCTTTCACCACTCCAGTGTGTGGCTTCTTACCTGTAAATCTGTGAGGTTGCTGCTCAGCAGAGACTCTGGTGAGGAGGAGGTCCTGCTGTAAATACTGCAGATGTTTCCAGCGGGGAGACGAGTGATCGGAGACACCAATAAGACTTTTCCAGGCCTTATTCACTCCACACTAATGTAAGTGGACTTACAGCACTGTAACCCTTGGCTCTCTAAAAGATGTGAATCTGCGGGACCCGGTTTGACCTGTGACCGTGCAAATACAGTATTAGTTTCCCCTCACAGCTTCTGCAATAACTCTGAATCCACTAATAACAGTATTTTGTACATACACTTTTGGACCACTGCTTCGCAAAGTTTTACATAATGTCAAAGAAAAAACAGGTTGACTATCACCTTTTTGCACGCTAGCGGAAACACCCTGCATGTAGCCTGCAGCTCATGCCAACATGCTGTTTTAAAGGGCCCGGGTTATTGGCTGTTAAAGTGCACTTGTGACATCATCAGGTGACTCCTCTCTGATGATTGTATGAGCAGAGGAGGTGGTCCCAGACATCAGCCACATGTATGTCAAAGGTACAAACATAAACCATGTGTTCCGTGTATTTAAGCTGGTGGAAGTCACACCTCTTTTTGTTTCAGTGTTAAGATTGAGGAAGCTTTCAAATGTTGGATGTTGCTCCGAGTCCAGCCATGGATCCCTGATCAGGAAAGGTTTCCTCCATCTGATCAGATGTTTGATTATTGGTTCACCATGATACTCTACGGTAGGAAGGGTTCAGACTCATTACGCCTTTTAAATTCTGTTCTCGAGTTCGAGCAAATGACCGAGTCCTTGGATGGACGCTTTGTGACTCACTGTTTTATTTGAGTGGTGTTTCATTCAGGGAATCCACTGCGAGTGGGCCAACCGTGGTTATTTAAGTAAATGAATGTACAGACGTATGTGTTATGATAAGCAGCATTTGAAGTGGCGGTGCTGAAGATGGTTTTGGCAACATGCAGCCCTGTACACTGTAACATGCCTCTCTACTCTCTACCTTATTCCCTCCTCCTGACTCCTCTCAATCTGTCTGATTTTGAAGCCATTTGAAGCAGATGCACACATGGCATGAGGGGAGAGTTGCCATTCTTCAGGGGAGCATATGTAATCCCATTACTGCTATAGAAACAGCTGTTCACTATGCATGTTCTCCAGTACACTGTCTTTCTTTTGTCTCAGTCGCTCATGTAATATTCAGACCTGTATTTATATTTTATTTTGTTCTCTCATGATAAACTGTACAGAAGGTTTTTTTTTGTTTACTTCCACCTGTGATAGGTTTGCAACAATGTAAAGAAATTGTTTGCTCTAGAAATAAACCAACAAAGAAGTGATCTGGATGTGTTTCTGCTTCTTCCTCCCAGAATGATCAGCACAGAGTTTAATCTTCAGAGCATGTATTCTTGTTTCTCCTGCCTGCAGCTTGAACCTCAGCGTCCACAGGGGGCGCTGTCTGGGTGTGCAGGGGCTGAACATTAACCAGCAGAGTCAGCTGACCTGAGATCAGCTCTGAGAGCAGGCTGCAGCTGGGAGCACATGTTCCAGTGAAGCATGCATATCAGTGGGGGAATGTAACTAAACAAAAGTACTCAACTAAAGTATGTGATCAAGGTACTTAACTTGAGTATTTCCATGTTATGAAACTATACTTTCACACATCCTGTCATCCTCCGAGACATGTATCAGTCAGCTTTAATTACGCTACGCTTCAAATGCAGTTGTTCCTCCCCTTCCTGTGCGCTGATGCACCATGGTATGTATCTCCAGATGATTTGTAGTGTTTGTGATAAACTGAAGGATGGTGTTTTTAAATGCTCCTTTATCCTTTTACTTCACTACATCTTAAAGGTAAATATTGCACTTATTTCTGCACTCTATATGTGTGACACTGGATTATTTCTACACACAAAATATGATTAGTTTATTAAAAAGTAGTTTTGTTATGAGTGAATCCACAAACCAATTTTCCTGATGAAACTCACATAGGCTACTTGTAACATTTCCACAGTGTGGTATTATTATTTTACTGTTCTACAATATCTGAATAGTTTCATTTAGCATCCATCCACTATTGCTATTATTTTATATACAGTATACTAACTATTATTTGTTGGTGTAATATTATTTGGAGGCTACTTGCCCTTCTCTGTTCCCCAGAATCCTTCAGCCGCCTCCATGTTTGTTTTCCAAACTTCTCCTCCAGACATCATTACTGTGAGTAGACTGGGAGCTGCTGGCCGTGTCAACAGCTGGTCAGGTGATGCTGCTCTTAATGCATCAACCCGCTAAACATTGGGAGGGAGGGAGGGAGGGCTGCTGCACACTCCGCCTCTCTAAGGTCATCCAAGGTGCAGAGAGAGTGGGAGTACTGATGACATCACAGGGACCATATAAGAGGAGGCGCTGAGGTCTGGCTGCAAACCTCTCTGAGCGGAGCCCTGAGGAAGCCGTCTGACTCCACCCCCCCCCCACCCCCCGCTGTGACCCGGGACACCAGAAGACACCGTCCTGGAGGATATGCTGTTCTGCCACCCGCAGCCCGAGTCCTACCACCAGCACTCTGCTAGTTACATTAGGTAAAGCACATGAACCTTTAGAAACATCTGGATTCCACTGGGAAACATTTGATTTACGACAGGTTAATCAACGTGTCACTGCAAAGCAGCGGCGTTTACTTTACATGCACAAGAAGATACCGAAGTAGAAGTGCTCAGAGTGCTTACAATACATTTGGACATCGGCAGCATTTTTTCCTTAAAGTATTTTAATATTTTTCCAATTAAACTGCCATGTGAAATTCGAAAAACAATGTCATCGAAATGTTTTTATACAATTATCTCCTTTAATGGAACATTGCAACAAACATAGATGAAATGGACTTTCCCCCACCTCTTGACCTGAACCAGATGAGTAACATTGTGTTTTTAACCTTTGTTTCTATGCTTAAACGATTAGATAAAGCGAGAACGGATGGTGACCTCCCGTCCTCAGCCCCTCTTCTTGTCTCTGCTCTTTCAGAGAGGCCCTGGCACCGTTCTTGAAAGATGAAGAAGCGAGGCTCACGGCTGAGAGTGTGTGTAAGAGGAGCCCGCTGCAGGCGGTCCTGTGTGCGGCCACCTCTCCGGCTGTGAAGCAGCAGGAGGAGACCCTCACTTATCTCAACCAAGGTAGCTATCTGCGCCGCGGGTGATTGGTCCACGTTGACTGAATGGAGCTCATTTTGTCACATGTTCCCTGCAGCAGCACCAGGCTTACATTAACGCTGATGCAGGATTCCAAATCCATTGTGCCTTGGGGTTGGGCTAAATCTTTATCAATTTATCACAAATGTATATTTATACCCCAAGTTTGGCACCCTGTAGAGTGTGCAGAGATAACAACTCAACAAGGCAAACAGAACAATGCTTTAACGCCATCATATTTATTTTATTTTTATGAAGTAAAAGCCTGTTTTGTCTGACCAACATTTCAACTTTCAGATATTGTATTTAATGTCAAACCACACACATTTAATGTCATGTTTGAAAAGCTAGAGGATATTTTACTCATAGATGATTTATGAATGATAAAGATAAACCCTTTGACCTTCTTTCAAATTACAATCTGTGGTTACATTTAGATCTGGAACAAATATTCTATTGATAAATCAAACCAATGTTATGATGCTAGTTGGCAAAATGGGTAGGGGGCTATGTTCTGCTGATTTGAATTTGTGTTCTGTTAAAAACTTCAACATTTGTCAAAGTTTTTGAAATTACTTTTTTTTTTGGGGGGAAATTTCAGAGCGGGAAATGTAACACAAAGAAGGACATGTTTTAAAGTAAATCTCTCAATGTTATAGATTCCGTTATATTTATTTTTCAACATTCAGATATGTATATGTTGAATGTAATACGACCATGTATTTCTTCCATCGTTTTCTGTTTTTAGAAGACAGTTGTTAAACACACAGACTGCTGTCCTAGAATATAACAATGGAATATAGTGTAATAAACATAATGACATAAATGACAATGATTAACCAACCTGCTGTTATCATGGTAGAAAGATTTGAAAGATATCAAATCATACCCTATGAATGATTGATCTGATGCAACATGAGCTTCTACATGTGTCTGCTGTCATACTAATTCACCCTCTTTTTTCTTTTGCTCTTTCTTTTGTCTTTTCTTGCCAAAATGTGCTCCGACCTCACTGCGCTCTGCCTCTGAACCTGCTGATTGTTTCTGAGACATTTGATTTGTGCTTTATTCATCTACAAGTTTGCCCTGCATATCTGCTGTACAGTCATTTGGTTTGAAACACATTAACAGTAACTGCTGCTCTGCCATGTTAAGATGTCATGTAATGACTAATAATCAGTATTTATACCATGCCTTCAAAAGCATTCATAGTCTTAGTGTCCCCCTGTGGTTATTTAAAGGATATTTGTATTATAATACTTAGTTTCATATTTGATCAGAAGGTTCAAAGTTGTCCAGTGGCTGGCCTTGATATCTGCCTTAACATATTCTAATTTGATTTAATGTCTATCTCCACTGCCCCTCTTTTCTGATTGACTGATTTCTCATTTTTCAATTTTAATCAGGTTTTTTTTTAATGTTTTAAAATGTAGGTCAGTCCTACGAAATCCGTATGCTTAACAGAAAACTAGTGGAGTATACAGATATAAGCTGCAAATATGTAAAGGTAGGTGTAAGGTATTGTGTTTGTCTTTTTTTGACCTACACATGACCTCTTTCTGCTCCTGTCTCTTTTTATGTAGCCATTTCCTGGTTTGTCACAGGTCCCTGAACCTCCCTTCCACTTCAGGGGTGGACTGTCCACCTCAATGAGCTTGGTACCATCACCCAAACGTACCTTTCCTCCTTCCTAGATTTAACAAACTCTCACGAACACACAACTCCTCTGACCTTCACTCCTTTACTGTACACTCTTCTTATGAACATGCCAATCTGCTTGTGTCTGCATCACTGGGATTGTTTTCAGAAAGACTTCGGCATCTTTAAACCAATTTTACTTCTGGATGTTTTTTTAATGGAAATAAACAAATATAATGTTGTATTCCTGATGCCATGTCTTCTGAATCAAACCCATTAGCAGCATTATTTCTGCCATGCAACGTTGTTTTGTACACAGGTTGTGACTAGATTTCCGATGTTTTAGGGCATTTGTCCACACACTCACTTCAGAGTAAGGAGAGCTCATTTTATTTCCTTTCTGTGTGAGTGCATCCACTTGACATGTCTCTGTGGTCCGGCTGCGTTAGCTTGAGACTGTAAAGTTAGCGGTAGCATCCTAGAAACACAGGAATGGGACAGGTGGCATCTCTGCAAACACATGACGCGCTGCTCAGTCAGGCCTGAAATATCCCCATGTTGTTGCAGGTGGTTAATTTAATTTGTTGATTTATTTGATGTGCTGGCAGGCTTCACAAGGTTGCTTTAAAGAGGCACTCCACAGTGCTTTCATAAAGCAGCTCAATAGGAATGGTGAAAAAAGCAGCAGAGGCCCGTGTTCAGTCCACAGAATTGATCACATGCTTGGAATGTTATCAGCCCGTTAAATGGACTTTATCGGTTGTCATCAGACCAGAGATTTAAGGTGGTAACTAACTCCTTATTGGCTCAGTAGGCTGTTGTCAAGTCTTGGTAAGCTGGATCACCACAGGGGGTTCAACTTTGTTAGCTAGTGACCTCTAATGGCAGAAATAACAATAACAGGAGTTAAGGAAGAAGATGGGCGACTAAAAAGAGGGAGAGTACAGATGTCAGGGTGGATGGGTCGAACACACACAGGACATTTACACAGGAGACCACTCTTCATGTATAATACCGCCAACATTTTCCCTTATTTACTAAACATACTTTAACATAAGTTACCAACAAACTTTTTTTAATTCGCTGATATCATTCAAAATGAATGAAATTGTCACAAATCCTACATTTCCCCTAATGCAACTGGATAGTGCCCTTTGTTAGACTCACTTGCAAAGTTTGTAACAAACGCTTCCTGTTGAAAAGTTACACCATCAGGGACTTATTCTTTTAATAAATACTCCTGGAGACGAGCCAACTAAACCAGAGCTGGTAGAGTGCCCCTTTAAAGAGACCCCTCTCTTAGGAGCAGGGAGAGGAATATTTGTGTTTTGTCTGATATGTTGACCGATATGCTAGATAGCCAGCACAAAGTTAGTAACAGAAGCTGAGGGCTCTGCAGCACATGCCGTCCACTGAGAGACGTTCTTTGGTCAGGGTTCCCACACCACTTGAAGATTGTGAATTGGAAATTGACCTATAGAACCAAAAACTCTTTTTGATTCGACAATCATTTTTAAGATCATAAGATAAGATTCTGACTATTTCACACCTCAAACATTTGTACATGTGAACATCAGCAGAAGCTTTTTGATGATCCTAAGTTGCGTTGTGTGTGGGAGCCCTGATTTAAGAGTCTTTGTTGGTGCTGCATCACATGCAGACATTTGAGACATTTGCTCCTCCTTAACCTGCCTCAGTATATTTCAATGAGGAGGGGAGCCTTTGGCACATTGCCCAACAGTCCAGCTGTTTGGCCATGTGCGACCTGCCCCCTCCAGATGTTTCTGTTCTCCGCTCTGAACTCCGGATCTGTCCACAGAGCATCGTGCGGGTGGTGTTCCATGACCGCCGGCTGCAGTATATGGAGCACCAGCAGCTGGAGGGGTGGAGGTGGAACCGACCTGGAGACCGGATCCTGGATATAGGTGAGTGGACTGTGAGTAGGTCAAAGCTCAGTGATTCAACCAAGGTCAAAGATCACTGATCACAGTGCTGTTTCAACCAGAGCGAAATAATGACACTTCTTCCACTCGACCAAACACCCACTAAAAACAGGATTTATATTTTTGTGGGAAGGTTGCTATCAGCATTTATTCCAGGAACATATGACTCAGCAGTTATCCCTGCATTTATCAGCTTCACCTACTGTAAATCAGTCATCATACACGCTCATTCTCACACCTTTTCTCACCTGTTGATACGGTTCAAACATCTTTCATTCATATATTGTTTCTTATAGTTGGTTCGTGTAAGAGTGTGACATCACCTTTTTCCAACAAAGACATGCCAACTTAGATATGAATATCTAAAGAGAAATAACTGAAGATGTCCCAACAGAAAACTCAGTCAGGACTCCATCGCTCATAGCTACAAGCTCATTTTTACAATGTGTTTTCCGGCTTTATAACAATTGCAAATTGACTGACTGATGATTTGCAGATATCCCGTTGTCAGAGGGGATTCTGGAGCCCCGTTCACACCCCATGCATCTGAACACCATCGAGTTCCTCTGGGACCCTGTGAAGAAGGCTTCTGCTTTCATCCAGGTACATATTCAGCGTCTGGAGGAGTGTTTCATACATTTCTCACACACAGGGGTAATCTAGTTACAAAATGACTAATCTAGTTACAAAATGACTAGTTTAACCTGATTATTTTCCGTTAAGATGTTTTTTACTTTAGTGTATTATGTAAGACAACAGAAAAATGTGAGCTTAGAAAAGAAGAAACCAAGATATTTAGGATACAAAATGTGTTCTCTTAAATGTAGGCTAGACCTACAGAATAGTAGAGTTTACAAAAACAGTTGCTTTTTTAGTTTCCTGATTAATCCCGTTACATTTAATTCCAAAGCCTGCTCACGAACTGACACTCCGTCTGTTGTCGTCTTGTGTCTTCTCAGGTCAACTGCATCAGCACTGAGTTCACCCCCAGGAAGCACGGTGGGGAGAAGGGAGTGCCGTTTCGTATCCAGGTGGACACTTTCAGCACCAATGAGCACGGGGAGTACATGGAGCATGTCAGTTCTTCCAGCTGCCAGGTTAAAGTCTTCAAGGTATGAAACCTGCCTGCCTGTTGTCATCATGTGTCTTGTACCAAGTTATGTTCTGCTTTTTTAATAACTGGGCCAGGTAGTGCATCAGAAATATATCTTAAAACAATCTGTAGCCCCTTTAAGAGAAAACCACCAACACCTGGCTCAGAGGGAAATGTGTCAGTCTTCAGTCTTTGTGTACATATGACTCTGCAATAATGCTATCAGTTTTAAGGTGTGATGGTATGTGGGAGACACAGACAGAAAATAAAATACATGACATGACCAGGGAATAGAGTGGAGCAGTGAAGACGTGTTGTGGAGGCTGACCTGGAAGTTAGCATCACAAAGGCTCTTTCTACAAAAAGCAATGGGATTTTTCCATTGCATATGGTATAATGCAGAAAATAAATGTTGTGGCAAACACACAGTCATGATATTTAACCCGTTTGGTTCAGCAGGATAATCTCCACATATTAACACCACTTTTTGAAGCGTTAAGCAAACACCATAAGTACAAAATCACATCACATGGCTGTGCAACACCACCGCTAAGCGAATGGCGGCTAAAGTTCGGTGTGATGATGTTTAGTCGTCTATTTAATCACACATAGAATCTTCAAACATTCACAAGCACTGAGGTATTTTATGTTGTAGAACAAAACCTGAGAACCACTTCAGCTTGTATTAACCACACATCAGATATCAGGCTTCAAACCACAAAAAACTAATTCAGAAAACGTTGACTTTGAGATGAGGGAACCAAAAGAGGCAAAATACTAAGTTGTCTTCCGGGTTTAGGACTCCTTCCTGCACCACTCTGTTGACAATTACGGATTACATCCAACTGAATTTCGTAATCAGGATCCAAAATAACAGTAACTGCTCCCTGACAGTTACATGAAAAAAATGCGTTATCAGTTACTAGTAAAAAATAAATAAATGGGGATTTATAGCTGGATTACAATGATACAATACCAAATACAAATATATACAGTACCAGTCAAAAGTTTGGACACACCTTCAAATTCGAAGTTTTTTATTTATTTAAATGTTTTCTACATTGTAGATTTATACTGAAGACATCAAAACTATAAAAGAACACATGGAATTATCTAGTAAACAAAAAAGTGTTTAAAAATCCAGAATATACTTTATATTTTGCTGGCTACTGCAGAATGCTGCGGTAGCCATGCTGGTTAAGTGTGCCTTGAATTCTGAATAAATCACCAACAGTGACACCAGCAAAGCCCCCCCCCCCCCCCCCCCACACCCTCACACCTCCTCCTCCATGCTTCACGGTGGAACCACACCTGCAGAAACCATCCGCTCACCTTCTCTGCGTCTCACAAAGACACGGCGGTTGGAACCAAAAATCTCAAATTTGGACTCACCAGACCAAAGTACAGATTTCATGTAGGTCATGTAATTCTCCATGTCCACTTGTTGCTGATGGTTGTGGTAGAGGAGCTGTAGATTTTGCACTAACATCTGTAGCATGGTCAGTAGCAGTAGCAGTAGCAGTAGCTACTGACAGGAGGAAGTCAGTGTGTGTGGCGATTGCTGGTATTCAGCGGGATATAGTCATTTCCTCAGCATATGGATAAATGCAACGGGGAAGTTAACTGAAAGAAACCAAGAAGCACGTCTCTGTGGATATTGCATCGAGAGGACGGCTCAGAAAGAGAGATATTCTCTACAAACACCGGGTGAGATGCACCTTTGTCAATATAATGGATCAATGCATGAAATCTGACTCTGTTTATTTTGTTTAAGGAGTATATTGGGCGTTAACAATTCTGGTTTGCCTTTTATAATATTATTTCATTCAAGAACCCCTTGTGCGTTTAATTAACACAGCTATTTTTGATGGTTGCTACAGCAGTGAGCAGGAGAGGTGCTATTTTTTTTTTTTTTTCGCTATTTTTTCAGGAAATATTCGTATAGAGGTGATTACACGGACTCGGTTGACCCCCCAGAGCGTTTCGTTTGCAAATCTATCCACCTTGGGACCCGTTATCGTTTGTGGGGTCAGTTTCTATCGGCCTCGTGTAAATAATAGGGCTATACGCACGCGAAACTATGCAGATACAAGCAGTTTTCTCCTCGTGTAAACGGCGCCTAAGAAGGCAAGTCATTCCACACATTGACTCTTGACAAGGCACACGTGTTCATTGAAAACCATTCCAGGTGACGACCTCATGAAGCTGACTGAGAGAAGCCAAGAGTGTGCAAAGCTGTCATCAAGGCAAAACGGGGCTACTTTGAAGAATATAATATATAAATCATATTCTGGATTTTTTAACACTTATTTGTCAACTAGATAATTCCATATGTGTTCTTTCATAGTTTTGATGTCTTCAGTATTAATCTACAAAGTAGAAAATTCGAATTTGAAGGTGTGTCCAAACTTTTGACTGGTAGTGTATATAATAGGAAGACATACTGCCTTTTATTTTAATGCAGGAGTTGAACACCTGATTTATTAAACAACAATAAAGTGTTTGCTCTTAATTAATGTAACTGAAACAGCATTTGTAATCTACTATTCTGTGAGGGCCGTTTTAAAGAGGACACATTTCTGATCCTAAATATCTTGGTTTCTTCTACCTAAGGTCTCATTGTTCATTTGTCTTACATAATACACTTTAATAAAAAACATCTTATTGATATTTATTTTCTCTTATATTTATTTGCATTGCATTTGACATTAAGGTAATCCAAAAGTAACGGAAGGTAATCAGATTACATACTTTTTATAATGTGATACTTTTTATTATTTTTACTAGTAACTGTAACCGAATATACTCATAACCCAACCAACCCTGTTTATAATGTATTAATGTAAAAAACATACATTAGTATGCTCTCCTCAAAACAGGCAGACTGAATTGAGAATAACCATGTGAAACCAAACTCATCAGGAACTTGTTCGTTAGTCTTTCCACTTTTCTATCAATCACTAACTCTGGTTAGAGCGTTACAAAGGGAGACTGAATAAGTAACAAATATAAAACATTTCCTGGCATCCTTACTGCTCTCTTAACGCCTGCATTCGTAGTCTATAACATGCACACCCCAAAGATGACTGAATTATTTTTGTTTTTGCATATACACGCACATTCAGTCAGGTGTTTACACTTCCATCTTGATGTTTTTAAGCCTAAAGGAGCTGATCGCAAGCTGAAGACCGACAGGGAGAAGATTGATAAGAAGGCGCTGCAGGACAGAGAGAAGTACCAACTGTCTCATGAGAGCACTGTGCTCAAAGAGGTGAGCCCCCCCCCCCACTGTCTCCGGACACATTCCATACCAGAGAGGAGCCTTTGTTTGCTTTCATTGTAGTGCTGCAACTTTATTGATCTGAATACATGTGTTATCTAATCTCAGCAGCACCGAAGCCTAAAGTCATCTCACACCTCAGTGGCTCTGTCAATCATTGGTTGCATCACTTTAGTGTCTGTGAATGTACAGTGACTCATGTACTGTGTTAATGTGGTTTGTCATTCATCTCGCAGACAGACAAACCAGAGGCCTGTACTACGAAGCCGGTTCAACCTAACCTGGATATGTTTGAGTTAGCCGGTTGGCCCAATCCAAAACATACGCGCTCTCGCTAAGCGGTCCTACGACGCGGGTTATCAAGTGGATCGCTCAAGCCAGCCGTGTCCTATCTAGTTAGGTGTGCGTTCACATAAAAGGGGCGGAGTTAGCAACATTTGACCAATCACAAACATGGAGAAGCGCACTGACAGCGCTGCGTCATACTTCCTGAATGAAAAGTGAACTATAATATTAGACAAATATGAAGACGTTAAACTTTAAACATCCATGACTTAAACTCTTTATCCAGGTTAAAAGCCACATAGCTGCACCTGCAAGGTGAATACAGCTGGTAAAAGAAAAAGTGTTTGAATGTGTACATTAACAGGTTTATGAAATCACTGCTAAGACACGATCTGACTTTAATTACATTTGACTCGAGTGTTTCGTCAACTTAATGTGTTGCTTAAAATAATACTTCTGCATACAGTATGTGACACTGTGAGTGTTGCACGGCCAGATACGGCTCAAGAAGCTGACTCAAATAAGGAAATATATGATACATTATGATGTGATATGATGTGATATGAATGATAATGGGACACATCGCCGTCTGCACTCACAGTGCCGTGGACTGTACTTAATGTTACTCTGATCCGGTTACTTATGTTGTGGCAGATATTTAAGTAAGCTTTCTTAACGCTAATGTTATAATAGTCAGATTGCTCTGAAGATGGGAGGGGATATTCTATTAATTTTCACGTTCACACAGTCAGTTGATTGTTGCCGGTGTTGTGTCAAATTATGCACCCCCATCATGAAATGCACCCCTTGTCACGGGAACGCGCATTTGTAAATGAAACGTTAAGATTATACGTTATATTTTGTTTATTATATGACAAATATGTAAAATTAAACAATACGTAAAATTAAACAATACATTTTAAAGCACGTGTAGGCCTATACAGACAGGACGTCACAATTTTAAAAAAAACACATAGCCTATTAAATAAAAAAATTACTGAAAAAGAAGTGACGAATGAATGCAAAATCCAGGATTCGACACCACTACCATCAAAATACGGAGCGAAAAGTTTAACCACAAGAATCAAGACTATATGAGCTACCACTAAGCGACTCACACTCTGTAAATTACCATTAAAAAAAACCTAGACGTTTACTTTTCGTTTTAAGCATCGTTCTAAGGTCTTAACGTTTCATTTACAAATGCGCGTTCCCGTGACAAGGGGTGCATTTCATGATGGGGGTGCATCATTTGATACAACACCGGCCGTCTTTCCTGCAACGGCAGTTTTTCTGTATTTCCTTGATTCCTGTTATAGAGTGGCGAAGTCCCTCCCACTTACTTCCGGGGTATGGGACCTTATTTCGGAAAAATTATGCATTGAAGTCAATGGGGAGAGAAAACGTATCTTTCGATCCCGTTTGAATTGTGCCATGAATTACACATATGATGTTTGTCAATCTTAAAAAATCATTTCCATGTCAAAAAAGTCACAGTTTGTCGTAAAACTGTTGAAATATAAGACTATGAAAAATACGTAACTAGAAAGACTACAAATCCCAGAGTCGCGTAAGTGATGTCACAATTGTTTACCTCCACCATTCAGATACCTAAGATCAGCGCAATATAGATATAATCTATCTATATGGCGCTGGCTAAGATAAGATAACTTTAACAAGATGCCTGTGTGCTTAGTACCAGGTTGTTATTATACCAGCAATGGGTCTTGCTCGTTCTTTTGCTTCCCGTCTGATGAAAGGACCAGGAGTGGCTTGATCAAGTTAGCTACCTAGCTAGTAGCTAGCACGTTAGTTAGCATTACAGCCTTGTCATTTTTATTAGCCTTAACATGAAGTAACATTAAGTAACCCAAAATGTTAAACAGTAAGAGTAGTAGTCATATTTCGTGAACCCTTTGAATAGTACTGTCACCGGTGTGATCATTCTATAATACACCATTTAATTCCGGGGGAGAAATGCTAACGCTAACGCTAGCATCGACGATCTTCTCTACTTCATGCTATCTGCACAAATGGTTGACATTAAACATTAAAACGACCAGGCAGTTCAGAGAGAATCAAAGGAAGGCAGGCAGGCAGCTTTGCATGACATTCTTCAGGACGTGTTTCATTGTGGTGATAGTGAGGGTAGTCAATCGTTTGTTGACAAGACAGTAGTGACGGCCATCTTGGTGACGTGTGTTGTTGACCAGAGATGTAGTTCATTTAGCGTTTCACACAAACAAATGTGTTACTTCACAGTTTTACGACACATTTTAATTTTTTTGACTTGCAAAATTATCTTTTAAATTGACAAACATCATATGTGTAATTCGTGGCACAATTCAAACGGGATCGAAAGATAATCTTTCTCTCTCCATTGACTTCAATGCATAACTTTTCCGAAATAAGGTCCCATGGGGCTCAACCGGAAGGGGAGGGACTTCGCCACTCTATATGACTTGATAGCTTTAAACTCCGCACACTGAGCTCTGATTGGTCAGCAGGCGGTGCTTTCACTGAGTTGATCTCTTATCCTGGAACCAAACCTGGGGCCTATACTACGAATCAGGATTTTCGTTTAGCGAGCTAACTTCAGGGATTTCCGGTCCTACGAAGCTGAGTGGGCTAGATAACTTATTCTGAACGGCTAGCCTGCTCCGGAGCAGGATAGGTTCCAGGATAAGAGATCAACTCAGTGAAAGCACCGCCTGCTGACCAATCAGAGCTCAGTGTGCGGAGGAAATACAGTTTAAACTGCCGTTGCAGGAAAGACGGCCGGCCAAAATCACCGACTGTGTGAACGTGAAAATGAATAGAATATCACCTCCCATCTTCAGAGCAATCTGACTATTATAACATTAGCGTTAAGAAAGCTTACTTAAATATCTGCCACAACATAAGTAACCGGATCAAAGTAACATTACGTAGCCTACAGTCCACGGCACTGTGAGTGCAGACGTCGATGTGTCCCATTATCATTCATATCATATCACATCACATCATAATGTATCATATATTTCCTTATCTGAGTCAGCTTCTTGAGCCGTATCTGGCCGTGCACACCCCTAAATTCCACCGGGTCCGTCTGCGCCGCGTTGCAGTTTTGGTCCGGCCTCCTCCGGCGTCATACCCTACCAGGCGCGTTTCAGAAGCATTTCAGAAGCGGAGCGTCTTGCCTGCCGGCTCGCAGTTTTTGTTGATTTGGGCATATGTCCTGGACAGGCTACTTTGTACAGACAAAGTTAATAATAACTGTAATATTCCAGTTATAAACGACATGAATCAAAGATGTGTTGCTGTATTTTAGTGGTAAAAAAATGCATTCATCATCATAATTATTCTATATATATAATTTACACAGTGCCTGTAAACCGGAGGAGAACGCTGGCATTTCTCCTCCTACTTGAAAGACTACGGAGGGATAGGGTCTGCTAAATTAGTTTGTGTGTGTGTATATATCTATATATATATATGCTATATATGCTCTGAAAGTTCCACTTCCTGCCTGCCCGACCTTACGTTACGGCTGCGCCGCGACAAAAATAGGATTCGATCCTAATTTTAGAGGAGCCCTGCGCCGAGCCGCTTCTGGGACGCTTCTGAGCCGTAACGCGCCGCGTGTGGTGGAATAACACCCATTGACTAGAGTGGCCGCGATCGCCGTGAGCACCGCGGCGCAGCCGTAACGCGCCCGTAATGCGCCGCAGACGGACCCGGTGGAATCTAGGGGTTACAGTGTCACATACTGTATGCAGAAGTATTATTTTAAGCAACACATTAAGTTGACGAAACACTTGAGTCAAATGTAATTAAAGTCAGATCGTGTCTTAGACGGGGCAGTGATATCATAAACCTGTTAATGTACGCATTCAAACGCTTTTTCTGTTACCAGCTGTATTCACCTTGCAGGTGCAGCCATGTGGCTTTTATCCTGAATAAAGTGTTTAAGTCATGGATGTTTAAAGTTTAACTTCTTCATATGTCTAATATTAGTTGACTTTTCATTCAGGAAGTATGACGCGCTGCGCTGTCAGTACGCGGCTTGTCCATGTTTGTGATTGGTCGATCGCTCCAAATACCACCCCTTTTATGTGAACGCGCACCTAACTAGATAGGACACGGCTGGCTTGAGCGATCGAGTTGATAGCCAGCGTCGTAGGACCGTTTAGCGAGAGCGTGTTTGTTTTGGATTAAGTCAACCGGATAACTCAAAACATATCCAGGATATGTTGAACTAGATTCGTAGTATAGGCCCCTGCTCCGGAGCAGGTTAGCCACTCAGCATAAGTTACCATGGAGATCTAGCCCGCTAAAAAGAGAACCAGCGTCGTAGGACCGGAACCCCCGATTTTTCCCTGAAGTTAGCTCGCTAAGCGAAAATCCGGCTTCGTAGTACAGGCCTCTGATCAGAGCTGAAGCGGGGAAACAATAATGTGTGTGACTTCAGAGAGGTCCCTGAAGGACAGTGCTGAAACAACCACTTAGATCTATTACTGAACTCATTACAGTGTTCAAATCTAAATAAAAGTCTTTAAGTTCAAGTCTTTAATACATTTAATTTGGTAAAGGTTACCAGCCATATGATTTTCATTCATTATTATCTATTCTCTCTCTCTCTTTTTACGATTATTCATGCTTTGATAAACAAGCAGCCATTGTTTAGATTTACAATTAACCAAAATATTGCACAACCCAAAAATATGTATTATTATAAATACAGATTGTAAAAGTTGTCAAAATGTTTTTTGCATATTTTGTTTTTATTGTAAAGCTGGCTTTTTAATATATTTTGGGTGCAGGGTAAGCTGAAAACAAAACACTGACATGTCTTATTCATTGAAGATGGTAATGTAAGGACACAAAAAGAAGTTTTGGGCTCCACCTACTCACTAGAGAAATATTTTTGCATTTTTATTTTGCCCTTTGAACTCAGTCTGCATGTGCTGCTGTGGTTTATTGAAGCTTCTGTATGTTGGAAATGAAGTAGATGAGAAGAGTTTTGAGCCTAGAACAACAACAAATAGGGCAACACAGACTAAAGGCTTCATAGCTGACGAGGTTCAGTGCTAATCCTTCGTAGGTTTACTGCATGCAACACCTATTACCTTACACAAAGTCATTTGATCCATTGTTGTAATAAAATAGGGATTTCTAAATATTTGGTTTTGGTTTACTCATGCAGTGTTTGTCCTGAGATGTATCTGCTGTGTCTCTCTCAGTGTTCCCCCTGGCCTGACGCTCTGAACCTCAGCATCCACAGCAGCAGCACTCCATCTCCAGTCTACCACAGCTCCCCCACCTCCTGCACCTTCACAGACGGGTGAGTCAGCATTATCGCCCAATGTTACCATGTGGGTGTGCATACAGCTAATAAATCGAGCTCTGAAAACTGTACATCTAATCTTAATAAAGACCAAAATGTAAAAATGTATTATTTGTGTTTCAGTAGCTTTGTTTGTGGTTTCAGAGATCTAGAGTATGTGGGACTGTCTCTGTAGTGTCATGCTAACATATGGAGCTAACAGCTCCCTCTATGGGTGCCTACCACGAGTTCCTATCACTGAACTTCTTCACAGTGTGTGCAGAGATAAAAGTAGACACTTAGAAATGGACAGACAGACACTCAGCTGATCACCTTAATCTCTTTTCTTCCTGTGTGGATGTTTCTGTAGCAACTGTTCTCCAACCCAGCCAGGGGAGCTGCTAGTGCCCGCCTGCTCCGATGTAAGTAAGGGTGCAGTGAAAGTGTTAATGTTGCTCTCTTATCCCTTTCAGGCCATTATTTGGAGACTCATTTCAAGGGCTCTTCTTCTTTTTGACATGTAGCACCTCCTGCCCTCGTCCTCGCCGCAGGACACGCAGCAGTGGCTGCAGAGACACAGGTTCTCCCCTTTCTGCAGGCTCTTCTGCAGCTTCTCAGGTAACGGCACAACAATCATCACTGTTTTGAGAAAGCAAGCACACAGCTGAGTGACTCAAACATAAAAAAGTATATGAAAGGAAACCATGAATATTTTGAACAGGTAGGAAGCAGAGTGGATCTTCTGCTGTTGTTGCAGGTGCAGATCTGTTGAGGATGAGCAGGGAGGATCTGGTCCAGATCTGCGGTCCAGCTGATGGGATCCGCCTCTTCAACACCATGAAAGGAAGGTGAGACAATAAAATACATGGAGCTAAATCTGGGCCAACAGTTTCGATCATTCGAAAAAATGTAATGTTTTGAAAATGTACGAAAAATACAACGATGCATTCAAACAGTCTCTCAATCTGAAAGCATACAATCTGCTGAACTGATCAAGCAGGACTCAAATATCAAAATATATATAAAACTGAAATATGAGTAAATATGATTTATTCCCAAAAATTGCTAAACTGAATCTAAATAATTTGAAACCTGAAAAAACTTTTCAAATACTTATTTATAGTTTGAATGCATCATTGTATTTTCAAAAGTTCAGGATCAAACTTGAATTTTCAAATACATTTTATTTATATAAAATATATGTAGTGGAGTAAAAGTACACTATTTACCTCTGAATCGTAGTGGGGTAGAAGTACAAAATATGAAAACATTTGAATACTCAAGTAAAGTGCAAGTCTCTCACAATTGTACTTAAGTACAGTACTTGAGTAAATGTACTTTGGTACTTCACACCACTGCAGGTTAATGTTATTAGTCAAACTCAGTGAACATCCTCTTCTGACCCTAAACTAAAATCCAAATGATTGAACACACTGTTATACTGTACCATGCACTGGCAAAGATTAAACTAGTGTTTTTTAATATATTTATTTTAGATTTTCGTGATTGCCTTTTAAATAAAGCAGTGTCATATTTTAGCACTGGTCATGTTTCAGAAGTCTTGTTAGTAGTTATCAGCAGTATGTCAATAATGAATACAGATATAGTAAGATCACTTTGATAAACAGAAATGTACCTGCATTTAAGTCTGTCAAGTCAGTGTTAGCGAGTAGAAAGGAGGGCACACATAAAGTCAGGCTGTTGTGTGTCTTACCCAGTTCCATACTACAGCTCTGCTCACCTTCCCAGGTGTATTCAGCCCCGTCTCATCATGTATGTGTGTCAGCAGCAGGCCAGACCTGCCGTAAAGCCGGGGGCTGGAGACAGTAAGTGCCATACAGTGTCCTCTGATCTCTATAAATTATGTTGAATATTTACACACGTATTTTAGTACGTGTGTAAAAACATTTTAAAGGACTATCATGGAATAAGGAGAAGTACAGCGGCCGACAGGTGCAAACGCGATACAACGGCCAAACATTACATTAGGAGAAAGGTGCTACGGTTTCAAAAACAATGCAAATAACCCCCCTACAAATGTGCCAAAACTCATGCAAATGAAGAAACATCTTCACCAACTCCAGGAAACATGCGCAGGGTTTACTAAAAGGGCTGCATAAATGAAACGCTGCAAACACAAAACGCTGGGAGAAAAGAAAAGCTGCAAGAAGCTCAAAACACAGAGAAACTAAAAAGTGACGCACACAGCTGGGACCGGAGCGCTTGTTGACATTCAGGATTATAAAGTTGGCCAACTGTCACTGGAAACTTACCTAAAATGTTTTATGGGTTTATGTGAACATTGTGATCACATGACTCCCTCCCATGTTGTTGCAGATCTGCTGTACATTTATTTTGTTATAGTTATGAAACAGACTAACTCTGCAACAGACAGTTGTCCAACTTTATAATCCTGAACGTCAGCAAGCACTCTGGTCCCAGCTGTATGCCTCACTTTTTAGTGTCCCTGTATCCGTTGTGTTTTGACACATTTGCGTGTGTTTTGGCACATTCATTACATAGTTTTGGACATTTCTCCTAATGGAAATGTTTAGCTTAGGCAGTTGTAGCGTGTTTGCATCTGTCAGCCACCGTAGAGAAGTGTTTCTTAAGAGAAATTAATCATCAGTTAGGTAGTGTTCATTTTTAAAGCAACTTGTTTCACAGCAACATTACTGCCTTTAAAATGTCGCTTGTACCGTTACAGAGTAACCTACTGAGAAAAGTACTTTTTTGTCACCAAAAATTAAAACCCCTTGCGTTAATGTTGGTGTCCAGAAGGCGTTTAACCTACGGTACGCTCACCATTTGGATACATTGACTCAACCGTCATTGGATAGCTTCGTTTACGGCAGCTGTGCAGGACAGACACAGTCTCCCCTCTAAAGACCCTCATTATGTTCACTTATTGCAGGCATTTTTCCCTCCATGTAACAAGTCATAGTTATTAATAAATGATCTTATGGAAGTTTGCATTTCACTGTGATGTTTTTGTAATTGATTTAAAAAAAAAAAAAAAACATAACTAATGGATTATGAGAGTTATACACTTTTGTTACATTTCTCATTACAACAAAAACACAATTTTCTCAGCCAAGAAAGAGGCCTATTGTCACACAGTCTGCAATGATGTCTTCAGAATGAAATGTAGTGTTCTGGTGTACATGAAGCAGGTTGATGTGTTCCCTCCTGTGTTCCCTGCAGTCTACCACGCTCTGTACCTGGAGGAGCTGACGCTGATGGACCTCTCTGAAAAGATCGCTATGCTGTACAGCCTCCCCCCGCAGCAGATTACACACATCTACAGACAGAAACCCAGCGGGATCCACGTCCTAGTCTCTGACGAGGTATCCTTACGTCTCATATCAACTTTCCCTAACTCTTCACATGTTTGACCCGTTCACCAAAGAGCTCTGTTTTGGCGCATTTCCACCGCAGGCCTCGCTCGACTTAGTACGGTTTTGTTAGGCCTTGTTAGGCCCAGCTCACTTTAATGCTGCGCTTCCATTACAGTTTAGGAACTGGGGTAGTATCTATAGTAACGCACTGTAGGCGGAGCCGTGACGTCATCTTCAATGAGCACCCCAGAAAAACAACACAGCCGTTAGCTGTTAGCACTCAGAGCTCACAGCTCCTCATATCTGTTCAGAAACTAGACAAAAGTTAAACAAGTACAAACCACAGACTGTCTGTGTCATGGTGAATACAGTCGCTGCTTTATTTATGTCTGTATAGGCCGTTGTTGTGAGTGTGGACGGTCGGAGCATATACTGCGTTAGCTTAGCCGATCTCCATTTAGACAACACGCATTTTAAAAGGTTTTTCGCCTGCCGTCTGTCTGCAGACTTGACAAAGCATTAATTCATGGTTTTTACTAACCGGTATCAGTATGTTGTTACTTCGGCATCATTTTGAAACGTGTATTACAATTAAATCACGGTCAAATATGTCCATCTTGTTGTAGTTGTAGCCCCCTTGCCAGCGATTTTCTCTCTAGTTTAGCATACTCAGCCCGACTCAGCCTGGTTGTTGGCCCCGATAGAACCACGATTTTGTCGGGCCAGAAAAGAGGTGAAAAAGTAGGCATAGTGGAAACGCAACCAAAAACGGGCCTGGCACGACACGGCACGCTTAAACCGCGCTCCGCGCCATGGTGGAAATGCACCATTTGAGAGCCCGGCCTGCTAAAATTGATTTCAAAGTTCCAGCCCACCATTGAGCGCTGTTAAAAAGCAACAAATAAAACATCTAGTAAAAAGTGTACCTTTGATACCTGTTTTTCTCTAATACATAAAAGAACATTTGAAAATAAAGGGTTCATTTTTCAAAAGTTTTGATGTCTAAAGGTCCTCCTTGAATGACCCATGACTATAACAAAGACTATAATGATTAAAATAATGATGAGTGGCACCAACATGTACAGCTTTGTCCTGTAAGTGCTGTATGCTCCGCATCTCTGATTATTATAATAAGGAAACACTTATTACTTATCCTGAACAAGATTACATCCCTTGTTGATATTGCTTTTGCCAAACAGGGGGGGAGTTTTTTTAACCTCAGTGATGAGTCTTACCGAAATTGCATGTCATTTTGAACGTGTCGCCCTATAAATTCAGATATATTGTGATTGTCGTTGCCCTTATAGTTAATCCTGTTGAGTTCTTCAGAGAGGAATCCATTTGAAATGTAATCTTGAATCATTGAATCTTGAATCCATTATCCTTCATTTTACCACTCAATAAAAGAGTTTTGACAGCCAATTAAGGCTATCCTAAACTCTCCCTAAAGTCTTTATCTAAAGCTGACCATTTGGCACTGCCATTAACAGGTTAGCAGAAGCTAATTATGATATTTAAAAGCCTGAATGTACAGGAGAATTTAGATTTATAGATGATAATAAATCACACAATGTCCTCACTTGTGATAAGCAGCACTTTGGGAATGGATATAATCTGTTGACATGGGTGAATCTGTGTGTTTCAGATGGTGCAGAACTTCAGGGAGGAAACAAGCTTCATCCTCAGCACTATAAGAGGTAATCATTTATCAAAGTTAACCTCTGATTCCACAACGCACTGTTCATCAACAGACATTCCCTATACACCCTGTGTAGCTGGACCAGTTGTGTTTTTAATGATCGTTTACCGGATTGCTTTCTGTCTCCCAGATGAAACCACGGATGGATACCGCGTCGTGTTGAAGTGACCAACTCAACACAACGTTGGTCTTCCTCTGAGAACAGTGGAATTGTACAGCTTGTATATAAGTCCTAAGATGTACAGTACAGTAAAATGCTGTATTCAGTAGTGGGAAATGTGGCTTTCCGTCTACTGTTGAATGGTTTTCTTGAATTTTCTTGAATTTCTCTGTTTCATTTGTATTGTTAAGTTACTGATTCATGCTTCAGGTGTCTTGTAATTAAAGGTGAAGGTGTACATTTTCGGCTCAAACTCGTATAAATGCATGATTTTCATGATAATAAAGCAGAGTAAATGGCATGCCAACAAAAAGGAAATACAAATGAACAAAAATGTTTGATGTTTTAATGTCCCTGCTCTCTTTTTCTGCTTGTCCCAGATATGAAATGCTCTCATGTAGTCCATTTGCTCTTTCTGTTGCATATTATATACAGCCTACATTCTTGATGAGATATAATGTAACATTTGGTAAAAGTGAATTTGTCTTCAATGTGTTTTGATCGCTATGGTTCTATTTGTCTTGAAATAAAGTACATTTTGCCAATGATACGTATATCCACAATTCCACATATCTTTTATGCAGGTATATGAAAAGACAGTGAGCAAAACTCAGTACAAAGTACTTCTGCAGTCATGTTTATCTCACACTCACAGGCAGGGTGTCATGATCTGCCTTGTTTCCTGTTTTATTTTGAAAAGTCTTCACCCCCTGTGTCACTTCCTGTCTCTGTGTTTTCCCGCCTGTTTGATTAGCTGATTGTGTTCACCTGATGTGTTTTCCCCAGCTGTGTCTCGTCCTTGTGATTACTCTTGCATGTGTTTAGGTTCTGGTTTTCTGTTAGTTTTTATCAGATTTTTGTTCATTGTAATTTCCTTCTGCTATTTTCTGCTGGATTGATTACACTGTAAAAATATTCACCGTGAATTCACAATAAATACTTGGCCAAATTTTGCATGACTTTCACAGTAAGATTCACAGCAATTTACTGTGAATGTCTTCACAGCAATGTATTGTAATTTCACACCCATGATATTACAATGCATTATTGTAAAGGTAAAACTGTATACTGTAACTTCACAGCTTCAATGACTAAGGAATTACTGTGATATTACAGTATGTTACTGGGGAATTACATCATTTTGTTGTACATGCATTACAACAAGGGCCTGTACTTTTACATTTCTATTGTGAAAGCAATGCAGGAGTTGCCAGTAATTTACTGTGAATGTACAATGTGTACTGTGAAAGTAATGCAAAAGAGTTGCCAGTAATTTACTGTGAATGTACAATGTGTACTGTGAAATACAAAAACTATTTTAGTTCACAGTGTGACATTAGCTAGTCATGTTAGCTTGTAATATATAGAGCAGAGCTAACTAGCAAGTTAGCTAAACGTTAGCGGTTAGCCGTTTATGCTATGCTAGCTGTAACTAGAACATAACTATAACTATAACTGAACATTAACTAACTGGATTCCGCTGTAAGAAAGCTGTGAAACTTTACAATAAACTTGGCGACAACACTGTGACACCCCGCTGCATGTTTATGTGTAATTATCCCGTGTTGGAGACGAGAGGGTGGCGCAGCAGCATTGCAATAAGCTGTAAACTAATGTTAGCTGCCACCTGTTAAGCCCGGGCGCAACATCTTGCAAGAAACAGCATCTCAGGGCTTCTTAACATTTAACAACCTATTAATCATAACGGGAAGAAACTCAGCTAACCAGAAGAAGAAACATAACCTTAAATAAAAAATAAAACATTCACAAACTAAGGATATTCTAAATACATGTTTAACTCCATTACAGTCGCAGGACTCACCAGATCTCAAGTCTTCTGTTCTTTGTTGACGACGTCCCGATGCTCATATTTAACGTGTAGATGTAAAACGATCCCGATATTAATCCATAAACTCCTGCAGCAGAAATACAGGAGACCCGCTCAAACTGACGTGGATGTTTCAAATGTGAACGACAGGCGCAGACAGTTCTCATTGGCAGGTTTCTTCGATGACGTTTATATTAACCAATCAGGAGTGTTGTGGACTCATTCCAAACATGCCTGACTTGTCTGCCGTGTTATGGCTGAATTCCATTTCAAGTGCCGTAGTTCTGGCTGTCGGCCAGAATCCGAAAACCATACATTATACTGCATGTAAGACTATAACTAACCCTTATTACTGTATATTGACCAATGGGAAAAAAAACACAGCAACATAACACATAAATAAAATAAGGATAACTGTGACTTATTGTTGAGTAAATAACAGTGTGTGTTTTAAACCTTGGTCCTCCCTGCAGAGATTTCTCCACTTTCTATGATTTTTTTTTTTTTTTTAATGATATTGTCAACTGTAGATGTTTACAATATAGTAAGTTAGGAATTTCATGAAAACATATTTATTTTTACTTTTGTTTCAACATTGGATATTTTGTGTTTGTGGTGGATTCAATCGAATATTGAGAAAATTATTTATGCAAAAATGTTTGACACTTTTTTTTTACAGTTTCATTTGTAGGTACCTTAAAATTACAAAGAAATATCTTAAAGTCTTATAATAGTAATACACTTTTATATTACGAGGAGTTACATATTTAATTGCAGATAATAATTTAAATTTTACATACATCTGCATGTATTTTCTGAAAGTGCAAAAATACTGTAAATATGATATAGTAAATTTACTTTAAAAAAAAAATGAAATAAATGTTATTTGTTGTTGTCAAAATACTTAAAATAATGTTTTGGGTTGTTAATTTATAGTTCATATCTATAATTTTACGGGATTTTGCAAGTTATTTAAAAAAACATAATTACTATAAAAAAATAATTATTTCCTGTAAAATTAGGATCTTTTTTTACAGTGTATAGAATGTCTCAGTTCAAATCTTCCAGACGGTTTGAGAAGTAGGCTATGCTGCAGGACACACGCCGGTTAGAATAGTCTATTCTGCACATGTGCAATGCTGCACAATTCAAATTTTACAGTAATGGGTTGTGCTATTACAGATGATTTTGAGTACAGTGCTTTACTGTGAAATAATAGTTAAATAATGTCAAATCCAATTTTACTGTAGTTTTATAGATATTTTGTTGTGATATTACAGGGGCTTTTTATTACAATATTTCTCTGTAATATGATACTCTTAAATGCTGTGAAATCCTTGCAATGTTTACAATGTTGTTGTGATATTACAGGGGCTTTTTATTACAATATTTCTCTGTAATATGATTATTAAATGCTGTGAAATCCTTGCAATGTTTACAATGTTGTTGTGATATTACAGAGGATTTTGATTGCAGTATCTTATTGTGAAATAATAGTTAAATGCTGTGAAATCCAAGGATACAGTCCTTTTTACATGTATTTGTTGGGATATTACAGGGGGCCTTGATTACAATATGTCACTGTAAAATAATACTGTTAAATGTAGTGAAATGCTGGTAAATTTTTACAGTGTACTATTTAAAGCATTTTTCTGCCAAGATATCATGTGTCCTGTACTTGGGTCCAGCATGCTTTGCTCTTAAAGTGACGATTGTTAATAATGCTGCCATCAAGGCTGGAGTCTGAATTAAAGCTGCAGGAAAGCAGATAATAGGAATGTTTGACTATTGTAGCATACTGTATATTACCCGTTGAAGGATACAATTAATTATTAGTTAATAAGATAACCTTGGCTATTGAAACTCAAACTTTACCTTAAACTTAAATGTATTTGCACCACCAAATTATCATAGCACAATAAATTAATAAGGTGTCATAATCCGAAGTTGTGATTTGACTGTGAACCGAGGCTTTACTTACTTGAAACACACAAAAACAGGTTCTTTAAACATGAGAAGTTTGTTTACTACCAAGAAAAACTACTGAACTACAAAAATATAAAATGAAAAGATGATGAGCAGTGGATGGATGAATTAAAAGTAACACAGCAAATATCATACAGGGTATGAGGTATTCGGCAGAATACGTGACCCAGCGGGATGACAACAATAGCAGAAAGACTTAGGGACAATATGAGATGGGAGACCCTTCTCATATAGCCTCTAATCAATACACTAAAGCAGGGGTTTTCAAAGTGTGGGAAGGTGAGCCTCCCCTCAGAGAATATAAGAACAGCCGCGGCCCCCCTCCCAATTATTATTGCTATTATTATTATTATTGTTGTTGTTCCTATAATGCAGGGGTATTCAATTGCATTTCAAAGAGGTCCAGTAAGAGAAAATGTCATTAAATGCTCTGTTTTCGCGGTCTACCTTTCTCTTTTTTGAGCACGCCATTTGAAACTAATGCAATTCCTGAAGAAATTGCTAGTGGGAATGCTTTATGCTGAAAAGCTGACGCTAAACTGCTATGCTGAAATGTAATGTGTAAGAAGAAAGTGAAGAAGTTAGATTGAAATGATATATGAACACTGGGGGCTTGAATGTGTGATGAGAGAAGAAAAGAGAGTAAAAAGGCTTGGAAAAGCAGCAGAATATTTGAACTGCAAACTTTTGAACCAACTTGATGGTGAATGATCTGTCGCCATGCCAACGGCATTTGATGACATCCCATAATACGCTTAGATGCGTTGATGGCTGCATCGTTACCAAACCTGTGAAGTTTTTGGGCCATTTGGAGCATTTTCAGTTATCAAGTTCAGTTTTCAAGTTATGAGAAAACCGTGTTTCATGGCGAGCATTGTGTTGCCATGCCAACGGCATTTGAAGAAATCTCAAAACTGTCCCGTAGATGTCTTCACGGCTGGACTGTTAGCACACATGTGAAGTTTGAGCACTTTTTGAACATTTTCATAGGAGTTATAGCGACATCATCTTTTATGGCGAGGGATGGAAACGGCATATGATGAAACCCCATAATTGACGTAGGCATATGGTGAGATGTCAGATTTGACGTAGAGCTGTTGAGGCATGGAGAGGTGATATACAGGTGAAGATTGTGGGACGACCGGACCTTGTCCATTGGAGCTACAGCGACATCGTGTTTTCCATGGAAACGGCATATGATGACACCCCATAATTGACGTAGAGCTGTTGAGGGCAGGACCATTAACCATTATCTGAAGTCTGCTGCTCTGAGCATGTCAGTTGGAGTTATGACATCATCGTGTTCCATGACACAGGTGTTTATATTTGAGCTAACGACGTGTCCAGAGATCAAAGGTTTCCATGGTGATCAAATAAATGTGGCAAAGGCTCAAATGTGTTGAACAACACATTTGTAACCAGGGTTCCCGCGGGGTCTTAAAAAGCCTTAAAAAGTCTTACATTTGATAATCTGAATTTAAGGCCTTAAAAAGGTCTTAAATATGACCAAAAAAATAAGAAAGGTCTTAAATATGATTTAGAAGGTCTTAAAAATGATCGGATTTGAAAGGTACTTCTCTGTTGCGATAGCGTCTAAATGTGTTTTGGGGGAAATGTCCGGGCTGCAAAGTAACCAGTACGGTAATAGCCTTTCAGTTCCCCCCAACCATTTGTATTGAAATAAATCAACATGGAACCAGTATACACTAACTTTGTTTCCCCCGGCCCCTTATCGGAGAGCACCCAGCTAGTAACCTAGCAACCAAGCTTCAGCTAACGGCAGTCAGAAACTAATGTATCTTAGAATCTACTTACGAATAAATATGGGGAAGTGTAAGTTCAACCGTATTTGGTTGGAAAACATCGAATTTAGTGCTTTGTTGAAACCAGGGGAGGGGAACGTCTTTGAAGCCCGCTCTGCACCTTTTGCAAAATAAATTAGTGTTTGTTTGGCTAATGTAGCGTTAGCTAGTGAAGCGTTAGCTAGTGCAGAAGCTCCCGCAACAACACCGGGGGACCTCCGGGCAACGTTTGGGTCTACGTCAACCCTAAAAGCGGAGGTGCTGTAGACGCTAAATACCGTAGTTAAACACCAATCATACAACAGCAACGATGAAAGATTGTAGCCAAGGCAGCAGAGCTCTGAAGATAGCTCTTGTTACTCTCTCTCTCACACACACACACACACACACACACACACACACACACACACACACACACACACACACACACACACACACACACACACACACACACACACACACACACACACACGGGCTGCTCGATTATGGCAAACATCATAATCACGATTATTTTTGGTCAATAATTGATATCACAATTATTAAATACAATTATTAATTGACTTTGAAAACATCCATTTATTGAACTTTAAAACAAATAATAATTTGGACAGTATCTTTTTAACTGTTGATTACCCTGAACGTATAATTCAACTGAAAAAATTAATTAAATAAATGATACATTTAAATAAATAATATCAAAAATAATAAATACCAATAAACAAGATCAAAAAATATTTTGGAGCGCACTTCCACAAGCTACTAAACATATATAAATATGATAAATAAAAATAAATTAGACTAAAATTAATTAGATCAAATATGTTGTAGTGCACTGTCACAACCTAGCAAAGCAAAATAATCGATTATGTTTCGTAATTGCGATTAAAATACGATTAATTGCACAGCCCACACACACACACACAGAGACACACACACATACACACTTTTTGTCTAACACACTAACACAGTTCTGTACTGTTATGCTGTTATGTTCAGTCATTGTTCTTATGTTGAACATGAATACATTTACTTTGTAAGTAATTATGGGACGTATTTCTTCTTTCATAGCAATTTTCCTTCATACTTTCTTGCCGTGAAATAGGTCTTAAATTCTATTCAAAGTGGTCTTAAAAAGGTCTTAAAAAGTCTTAAATTTGAGTTGGCGAAACCTGCAGGAACCCTGTGTAACAGGTTTGTTAATTGACCAAAAAATATGAACAGTTAAGATTGAAAATGGGATTATTATTAGGATTATTTGTAGGTCATTGAAAAGTAGAATCATTTAGAAAGATGTGAACATTGAAGTTTCTATTTTAGAAAAGCTGACACTAGTGCATCGCTGGTTTTAAAAGTGATTTATAGGAGTCATGTTTAAAGATGTGCAATACTTAAAACGTTTATAAAGATCCTCTGAGTGTGTGTCATTAGTTAGCTGATAAAATGTTAGGGATAAATACGTTGACATATTGACTACAAGAGCTTGAATCAAACAAGCAACCTTGTATTTGAAAGATTAACTGACATACTGTAGCAACAGTCGCACCTGGTATATAAGTGGTGTGGCTGAGTACTTTAAAGGGTTCATGAATAGAGGGGACTTGAATGTGAAATAAGAACAAGAAAATAAAAGTCTAAATGCATGAAAAAGCAGCAGAATATTTGAACTGAAAACTTTAGAACTAAAAGCATATGTCACCAATAATGTCTAAAATATGTGGAACATGTTGAAGTTAGTATGAAGTCTCCATCAGACGGAAAAGAATAGGCTGAGACAGTCTGTTAAAATCGTGTTCCATGACACAGGTGTTTATATTTGAGCTAACGACGTGTCCAGAGATCAAAGGTTTTCATGGTGATCAGTGAGAGGAAAGCATTTTCATTGTTCTGAATGAGAGATAAACCTGTTACATGTGAACGTTTTGTTGAAGAACCGTAACAGATATCGGTGAAATTTCAAAGCGTGAAGCATGTCAAGGAACTTGAGCATCTGAAGTGTACTTTCGGGTTAATAATGTGGCCTTTTTGGCAGATTAACTAAAGGTGTGCGGCTGCTGTGGTGGGGAAAGGTGAGGCTGAACTAGACTCTGCGGTCTTAAAATCCCCACAATGCTTTGCGCACGGACCAATTTCCAAATCTTTGGCGTAAATCGCGCTCCATTTAAGGCGGGGCCTCGCATATGACGCACACCTGCACACCTGTTAGCCTGTTCCACAATTCTTCGTTTTCCGAGGCTAGGAAGGATTCTTGCCTCGCTTCTGAAGGAAGTGACTCGGAAGACATGTGCTACCAAGCAAGCGTCTGACTGACTCTAGACCACATTTTTACTTAGAATTCCAAAAATATCACAATTTTCTTTATATGTCTTTCTTCATACATATACTTGTAAAACAATAACACAGTATATGTACAGATCTATGTACCCCTGATGTCAAGGTTCTGTGTGTATATAATATTTGATGTACTTTCAATTTTCTTGAAAAATGGAGGAAAAAAAAGAGGAACATAAAGGATTCGTTTGTCAGAAGTTCAGAACACACACACACACACACACACACACACACACACACACACACACACACACACACACACACACACACACACACACACACACACACACGGTATTTGTTAGCTTTCGTTTCCTCAGAACAGACCGCCCACTTTAAGATCGCCTGCTCTCTCCTCTGCAAACAGCAGGAGGAGGATGAAGGTGTGTTGGATGAAGCCTGCTCACCACTAAAGTCAGTTCTAAGAGCTGTGCATGTTGGACAGTGATCGGACAGAGACTGCGGAGGAACATGTCTCCGGGATGGTGAGTGTGTGTGTGTGTGTGTGTGTGTGTGAGAGAGTGTGTTTCTGTTTCCATGTATGTGCGCAGTGTTAGAAAACAGTCATGATCTAAATCATTGAAAAACAGTCTTTCATTCCTCAGTTTCATCTAGCATTTTATTCGTCTCGATTTTACGGATCATGCATTCTGCGCACATTACATTTTTGTCAGATTTCGAATCTTTTGAGGAGCTTCCTGTTTCGTACTTTGACATCGCAGTGCACTCACACCCAAAAAAACCTACATCAGTCAAATAAAACCCATTATTAAACTACAATGTGAGACTTCTCTTCGCTAAATACGTCGTGTATTGCCCAGAAAGAGTTACATCTGCAGCTTCGTCCGGGTTTTATTCAACCACTGTTGGCACCAGAGAGCACAGTGGGGAAATTTGAGCTTTTTCAGAAATCCAAAGGAGCCTCTCATCATGACGCAGCAGAAACCCTGAGACAGACAGGCAGGGATTAATGTGCAGTGTGGATGTAAACAGTACTGTCACTATTGAATTAATCAGCACTTCAATATACTAAATTAATTATTATACTTCATGGACACAAGGGCCAATTCCTGTGTCTTTCTTTTCTGTAACCTCTTCCTCCTTAAATGCAGAAGAAAAAATAACACCAGGCAGCCTTTCATATCTTTTAATAATAAACAAATATGGTCCCTAAAGTTTAGGGTTGGGTTTTATCTTTTTATTTGATTGGTTATTACAGTGCCGTTTCCAGGTGGGTGATGCATCATCCAGACCTGGGAAGTAACTAAGTACAAGTACTACACTAAAGTAAAAATGTTTATGTAATTGTTCTTTACTTGAGTAGTTCCATGGTATGCTGCTTTATACTTCTACTCCACTACATCTATAAAGATAAATCATGTAATTTTCCTCCACTACATTTATTAACAGCTTTAGCTACTTTAACAAAACACATCTCTCAAAATGAAACTAGTGGACTAACTCTTTAAGTCACAAAAGAGACAAGCTATTTAAATATTTTACAAAAAGTCTATCAGAACTTTGTTTGTCTACAGCAGTAAAATGCTACTTGATGCAACAATACTATCTAGAAATGTCAATATATAAATATAATTATACAGTACACACATGAAGGCAATTTTTCTGCACAATGATTACTTTTACTTTTTAACCTTGAAGTACATTTTGTGGACATTACATATTGGAGATTATGAATGTAGGACTTTTACTTGTAAGTATTTTGACAATAATGTATTGGTACTTTTACTAAAGTAAAGCATCTGAATACGTCTTCCATCGCTGCAGACTGTGAGTCAGTAGGCCTCTCTTGAACTCATCCATAACACATACACTCTTTGCCAACTGTGCAAAGGGGTCCTTGGTTTCAGGCTCAGAAGCCAAAACAGCATCACAGTCGTCCATTTCCTTTCTGCAGCAGGCTTCTTCTCTTCCTTTTTCTTACCTAGGGCAGCCGCAGCAGCAGAGGAACGGCCACAGGTTTAAGCGGCTATATTGATGGTTCTGGCTGGAGTGAGTAGGGCAACAGGAAGAAGACCTTGTTTTAACGCTATTATAATCATTTGAATTTCAAAATAATTCAAATGTATTCGTAATGAGTTAAATACAGCTGCAGCTATGATGTGCATGTGAAATCTGTGTTATTGTACCACCTCCTGGTCACAGGCCTGTACAACATACAGCCTCTTATAACACGTAGGATAGATCTCTGAATGCATTGGAGAAAAATCAAACTGTTGACTGTACAACTAAATTAGCTTTGAAATATTTTTTGCTCATGATCAATTTTACTTTTACTATTACACTGCATGGTTATTTTCCCCCTGGCTTAATAATTTATTCCGGATGATATACAGTAAGACAGATCATCAACAAGGACAAACTACATTTGCTCAAACAGCTCTTCGTACGGTGGCCGGCAGGTGCAAACGCGGAACAACGGCCAAAAACGCATACATAAGCAGGAAACAGCTGCAAATAATGAAATTAAAAACAAACAAATCCTGAAAACAAATACAACAAAAAAACGCTGCATTTACAGAAATGATGCAAACTAAATACAATACACAAACCCCGAAAACAAACGCAACAGAAAAACGCTGCAAATACAAAAACACATACAAACCCCAAAACACACAATGCTCCAGGCCTCTAGGGGGCACGCTACGTGGAACAGATTGATGTCTGACCAGACATAGAGAGAACGAACGAGAGTGATGGAAATTGAAGCCGGAGGGAACAAAGTTGATCGAAGTGGACAAAGTCGATAAATAAGAAGGTACGTTTTCTTTTGTTTTTATTCAAAGAGCGTCATATTTACGCAGCTAGCGTTAGCGTGCCTACAGTAACTACTACACCAGCTGAGGAGAGGAGAGCTTCACCTGAAGAGAAGATAAAGTGAGGGAAGAACATTGTTAAAAGAGATGACAAATGGAGTGCAGGTAAATAACACGGGCCATAGTGAGTACCGCGGAAACATTTGAAGAGAGAGAGAGAGACATTCTTAGCAGTTTGTTTATATGTATGTATTTGTGTATAGATGTTGCAACTATACAGAGCTTTAGCAATACTATAAGTAACTATGGTCGGTGGAGAAGTGATCAAATGTGAAGAGGGACAAAGTAATGACAGGATAGTAGTGTGCATTAGACATGCTCAAGAACAAATAGAAGACATTCAAGGAGAGAGAGACACAACACAGATTCAACGGTAAACATGATGTATCTCTCTATTTATTTAGCTAACCACTATTTAGACTATGTGTTTTTGATTGACTTGATTCAACGGATTTACTACATCAATGTATGTCTTTTCAGGCTGCCAAGTTTTGTGCTTTCTGTGGCCAACATCTGGGGACAGTTCAAGTGTTCTGTGGCTCCTGTGGCAAACATGTACAGTTTTCGGCAGAAGTTGAACACAACTGTAAGTTCACTTTTTTTTTGATTGTATCTGTTTCAAATGCAAGAAATAAGGATTCAACACACTACTCTGTTTAGAATACTAATTGTCAGATGCATACACTAGTTATCAGAATGAAGGACACATTTTTTCATTGTCTGTTTATGTGAAATATGTAGAAGCAATCATTAAATTGTAGACCAATGCATGATTAAATACACAAAACAGCTTATATTATTTAATTATTAATAATTGTGTATTAGTTCTATCTTTTATAGAGAAAATTATACATTTAGAATCAGATTTTGAGACAGTGAGCGGCTGGGAAAGTCACACCGCCATGGGGCACAAACAGTTGCTATGACATGATGTTTTCTTCGCATTCTCAGGCATTCCATAAGGAGGGTCAGGAACTCACGCTTGGGACCACCAGTGTCCCCTCCATCCTCAGTTTGTCCCTCATCATCAGTGAACTTAACTGACATCTCATGAGAGGGATCGAATGAGGCACCTTTGAAGCCGCGGATTGCTCCATCCCATACATTGGCTCTATTAATATTGAACCTGCTGCAAGATGTATTTGTTATTTTTGCAGAGAGTTCTGCAACAATGTCTGCCGCAGTCAGGTATTCTGTGGTGGGAAAGACAAAGTGATGTATTGTAATATTAAATGATGAAGCTAGTAATAAGATTTACAGTATAGAATAGAAAAATTAAGTGGTAATAGTAACAATGAATACCTTTCCTCTGCAGTTTGCTCCATTTTGTCTTCTGGCTCAGAAGATTTTTTTTAATACATTGGTTTCTGCAGCACTTTTGTCATACTCCTGCATAGGGGTGTAACGGTTCACAAACATTTCGGTTCGGTACGTACCTCGGTTTTTAGGTCACGGTTCGGTACGTTTTCGGTACAGCAGAAAAAATGATCACAAAACATAAACAATTTTTTGGGGTTTTTAATTATTATTAAACTGTGAATAATGTATTCACTCAAATAAATACAAAATATAATAAAAAGAATATTAAGGTGCAGCATTTCGATGAACTGAAATAATCTGTATTTGAACTGTACTGTACTAGTACCTAAGCAGCCAGCTGGACATTAGGCTTGTCATTGTATTTTTAAGTTTTGTTTAAAGTGGACCTATCATGCTACAGTATATGTAAATGATATATTGTAGGGCCATACCTATATAAGGTATATTTATACGTTTCTGTTTTCAAAATACCAAACAGATCATGCATTTTAGCCATGCCTCATTTCGCTCTATGTGCTGTTTGCTGTCTACGGGGCTGATTCTGCTGACCACGCCCCCCTGCAGGAGAGGGGAGCCGTGCTCTGATCAGCTGTCAGAAGAGGGGGAGAAAAAGAGATCTCCGTCCTCCGTGTTTTATTTATATATACAGTCTATGGTTTTATTATATTATTATAGGCGTATAGAGTCGTTATTCATTTGTTTTAAAGCTCAATAAATAACAAAGAAGACCTTTGACCGGCACTTTTCTAATTTTGTCCGGAAGATTTAAACTTTAACGGACATCTTGACCGGCGAAAGAAACTGAAACTGAAACTCTGCCGCACGGTCCCCTCGTTCCTTGGAAGAGGCGGAGAGGTGGGTGTTTGTCATCTGCTGGTGGACTACCGGAGAGAATTACAGTGCTTGCCTCGACGGGGAGGGATTGCATTGCAGCGGGAGCAAACGCTTGCCTCGGGGAGGGAGAAAAAAAGCCACAGCGGAGAATAAACAGAAGGGTAACCATGGTTACCATATGCGCGGGAAGTCTTCTTCGCTGCTTTTGTGGCAGACTACAGCGCCACTTACAGGCCTGGCATATGTACTACAGCGTCTCCAGCGCTTTCGAGCGGCAATGGCCGGCCGTGGCCCAACCCCACATTCCCCTGATAGGTGGAGAGTTGGCCCAATAGCCGTAGCGCCACCGTCCTGACGTCAGGACAGTGTTCAAATCTGGATCAGTTTTTATCAGATCCGTTGCAGCCCCTTTTTTAGAGATTTGGGTATGGAGGAAAATAGAGAGGGTTGTGTTTTCTGACACTTGGTGAGTTCCCTGGAACACCGGGGACACATATTCATGTAGAAAAGACGTACAAAAGTGCATTTTGCATGATAGGTCCCCTTTAAGAAAAATGAACTTGTCCACATTGATTGCCGAAAGGGCAGATCTGCTGGCACAAACAATGTCTCCTGCTGTGGAGAACACCCTCTCGCTAGGGACAGAGGTAGCAGATACAGCCAGGTAGCGCTTTGCTAACATGGCAACATAAGGATATTTGGCGTTTGTAATAGCTTTGGCTCGGTCTGAACTTTTTGCGAGTGTTGGAGGCTTAAATGCTAGTGGGAGTTGGGTTTGCACTTCAGTCATTTTTCTTTTGGTACCGGTGATATTGACGTTCGGGTGATGCCTTTTCAAATAAGTGTGCATGTTTGATGTATTGCCAGCCGCGTAACCAAATTCAGTTGAACAATGCCGACAAACAGCTTTGGTTCGGTCCACCTGTCTTTCTCCGTCATCGTTGTACGTAACTGCGAAACCAAAATGTTCCCAAACCGGAGACTTCAATGATGCTGGAGGATTTTCGAGCTCAACTTTATCTGCGTTCGCCTTTTCGACAGTTCCTCAAATTACTGACTAAATTTGAACGCATCCCTGTGACCAGCTCTCATAGTATGCCTCTCGTCCAATGAAATGACTTGGTCGCTCTATGACGCGTTGAACCCAATGTGAGCAAATCACACTGAACGCTGTGACGCAGCACCTGAGATTACTTCCAAAAAGTTGTTCACGTTCTCAATGTTTTACGTTTAACGTTATATTCGTTCGGTACACTTCGGTACACACGTGTACCGAACCAAAGGGCCCATACCGAATAATTTCGGTACAAATACGTATTCCGTTACACTCCTCCTGCACAATCCTTGTAAACATTTGAAATGGATGCAAGAAACGATATCTGATCTTTGAAAAATATTTGTGGGTGTTTTTTGTATCGTCTTCACTAAGATGTAAGATGTTGTGGGTGTCATTTGGAAATGTATAAAAGTATAATTGTTCTGCTTCCTGGCAATGTTACCCACTGTGATTGGAGGCTATACAAACAAACAAATGTACAAATAAATATACACACCAAACAACTGTGTCACGATGCAACTGTCAACATTGTTTACCTATAGAAGGTGTTCTGACCTGGGGCAGATTGGACCTCTTCCTGGAATGGGGTTGGTGCTCCATCCTATTTTTACCCAGGAAATAAGTGCAGTTGATCTAATGACAGTGTTATTAGCACAAAAAGGTATTTATTGATTTCATGTTCACAAATTCAAACCTACATGGTATAATTACATTTTTAATTAGTCTTACCCGATCAGGCGCTGGTTGTGGGTGCCTGAGAGGTCTGATAAAGGTAAACAAAAAATATATTCAAACTACTGTACTGTTAAAACATTCTGCTTCTTGTGGCACAAAATAATATGTTGACAATGTTTTATTTTACCCTGGGAAACTGTTGTCCATTCTTGGAGTGCTCACTTTTTGAACATTTGGAATGTCCCACACCGGCATACACACAAATGACTGACTGAAATAAAATAAATTCACTTTAATTAAGAATAAATGCCACGATAAATCCAAACTGACCAAGGTACATTATATTGTTGACCGTCCTTTAACTCTCACATTAGGATTTACATTGGGGCACAATAAACCAACTCCTCTCTGCACCTATAATATATCTATATGATGTCAAGAGTTACATTTAGGTGCACAATGCTGTCTCTTGACTTGCAAGCTCTTTTACCAAACAAGCTAACGCTAGCTGGGTAAATATGACGCTCTTTGTATAAAAAAACAAACAAAACTTACCTTCTTATAGATCAACTGTCTCCACTTCGATCAACTTTGTTCCCTCCGGTTTCAATTTCCATCACTCTCGTTCGTTCTCTCTATGTCTGGTCAGACATCAATCTGTTCCACGTAGCGCGCCCCCTAGAGGCCTGGAGCACTGTGTGTTTTGGGGTTTGTGTGTGTTTTGGGGTTTGTATGTATTTTGGGGTTTGTATGTGTTTTTGTATTTGCAGCGTTTTTCTGTTGCGTTTGTTTTCGGGGTTTGTGTGTTGTATTTAGTTTGCATCATTTCTGTAAATGCAGCGTTTTCTGCTTATGTATGAGTTTTTGGCCGTTGTTCCGCGTTTGCACCTGCCGGCACCGTACTTTTGGTTACAGCAAAAAAAACGGAGGAATTCTATCCCTTCACATAGTAGACCGTTAAAGTGAGATTAAAACTCTTGCTCCCTACGTTTTTATGTCACGTTAAAAATGTAATTTTATTAGGGCTGTCAGTCGATTAAAATATTTAATCGCGATTAATCACATGATTGTCCATAGTTAATCGCGATTAATCGCAAATTAATCGCACATTTTTTATCTGTTCTAAATGTACCTTAGAGGGATATTTTTCAAGTTTTTAATACTCTTATCAACATATGAGTGGACAAATATGCTTTATATGTTTGTTTATTATCATTTGAACAATGACAAATATTCTCATGAATATTAAACACAACAACCTGAACATTACAAATATTCGCCTCAATTCAACCTAGAACCTCTCTCATACAATAATACAATACTGTGTGTGTGTGTGTGTGTGTGTGTGTGTGTTGTGTGTGTTGTGTGTGTGTTGTGTGTGTGTGTGTGTGTGTGTGTGTGTGTGTGTGTGTGTGTGTGGTGTGTGTGTGTGTGTGTGTGTGTGTGTGTGTGTGTGTGTGTGTGTGTGTGTGTGTGTGTGTGTGTGTGTGTGTGTGTGTGTGTGCGTGCGTGCGTGCGTGCGTGCGTGCGTGCGTGCGTGCGTGCGTGCGTGCGTGCGTGCGTGCGTGCGTGCGTGCGTGCGTGCGTGCGTGCGTGCGTGCGTGCGTGCGTGCGTGCGTGCGTGCGTGCGTGCGTGCAACACAGTCTCACGGCATTTCGTGTTATAGTCACGAAATGAATCTATTGATTCGTGTTCACCAACACGATTTCGCCATTTGTTTCGTGTCACACAGAACGATTTTAAAAGCAATGTAAATAATAACAAATTAGAAGGAAAAAGACATTTAAAAAAATACAGATTTAAGTATTCTGACACAGAACGATTTTAGAAGCAATGTATTTATATTGGTAGTGTGTTTCGTGCCTGCACCAAATAATAACAAATTAGAAGGAAAAAAAGATGACATAAAATACAGATTTCAGTATTCTGAGGCTCTGAGCCCCATTTCTTTTCCTCACTGACGACAAAAAAACTCAGACATTATACAATTTCAAATAAAAGGGATAGGGTTAGGCTTAGGGTAAGATATTGAGTAAGAACATGTTTTTATGAACCACACAGCTTCTGGTCTTCCAAGACCCGACCGGACAAAAAGACGTGTTGCAGGCACGAAACATACTACCAATAGAAATACATTGCATTTAAAATCGTTCTGTGTGACGAAAAAAAGGGGAAAATCGTGTTGGTGAACGCGAATCAATAGATTAAATGTTGTGACTATAACACGAAATGCCGTGAGACTGTGTGTGTGGTGTGTGTGTGTGTGTGTGTGTGTGTGTGTGTGTGTGTGTGTGTGTGTGTGTGTGTGTGTGTGTGTGTGTGTGTGTGTGTGTGTGTGTGTGTGTGTGTGTGTGTGTGTGTGTGTGTGTGTGTGTGGTGTGTGTGTGTGTGTGTGTGTGTGTGTGTGTGTGTGTGTGTGTGTGTGTGTGTGTGTGTGTGTGTGTGTGTGTGTGTGTGTGTGTGTGTGTGTGTGTGTGTGTGAGAATGTGGAGACACTGTGATGGATCGTTGGAGCTATGTGCAGCTCAAGGCATATATGCGCAATCATGTTGCGTGCACTATCCGTGCTGAGTGTGCTGACTTTTCGTACAATGTCCCACTGTCTGGCTACCTGCATAAAGTCAAGTGCTCGGCGCAGTTGTCGGCGATTAGGGAGGCAGACAGTGTCCACACATTTAAGAGTAGGTTAAAGACTTTTCTCTTTAGTACAGCGTACAGTTAAGACTGGTTTTAAACCCCCTTTTATACATCCTCATGGACCCTTCGTTTTATGGAATTTTAATTATTGTACTCTAACTGTATTTGTGTCATTGTGTTATGTTCCTTTTTAAATTGGTATTTTCACATTGATCTTGTAAGATAAGTCTGTTGTTTTTACATTGCGTTTACATTGCCAATTGTGTTTGTTGATTTGTGAAGCCCTCTGAGACAAATATGATTTGTGATTATGGGCTATATAAATAAACTTGAATTGAATTGTGTTTCGTTTAGGTAAAAATTGTTAATATCGTCTGTTTCTTCCCGTTCAGTGGGTATGCATCATTAATAGGTTGTTAAATGTTAACAAGCCCTGAGACTCTGTTTCTTAGAAGATGCTGCATCCCGCGGGGGCAATCAGGCTTAAGAGGTTAAGACATCAATATAATTATATTTCTACTTTCTGTTGCAGCATTAATGGTCAAGATGTGTGAAAAGTGAGCCAGCTATCATGGATGATCAGGAACAATAAAGGTAAAGAGAAAATGTATGTGATTTTATGTTAAACGAGCCTTCCTATGCAATTTATAGTCCTCTGATGTGATTTGCTCCTTTTAAATTATTTGATTATTTTTGTAGGTTTAGTGATCTACTTTTGTGAAGAAGAAACCAACACCGCCATGGCAGATCGAGGTGAAATCAAGGTAAATGACAGTTAAACAATCAGTATTTTAAAGGAATGTAATTTGCAATACATTTACATGCATGCGATAAAGTTATCAAACTAACAACTTTGTAAAAACTCTAACCTATTAAACAACTTCAAGTTGTTATGTATTACTACACCTTATGTTTCAACACCTTAATATGGTCAACAAATAAGTGTTCATTAATTTGAGATGGAAAAATAACAGGACTTTGTATTTCAGAGTCAGGAGGAGGATCTGCCACCGGACATCAAGGACTGGAGTAAACATCAAGTGAAAGCATGGACTCTCACGTTAGATGATGTTGATGACGGAGTTGCAGAAATCTTGTTTAAGCAGGACATTAATGGACCAAGTATTTTGCTTTTAGATAGAGAAGACTTAAAACAAATGGGTGTGACTTTTGGACCTGCAAAACTTTTCATTCATGCCAGAGATGAGTTAGTGAAATTTAAGAAAGAGGAGCCAACAAATGCTACAAATCAGTGTGGAAGACCATGCAAGCCTTATCCATTTTGTAGGCAGCATGATACACATAGATATATCGAGAGCAACATTCTTGATATTCCAGAATCAGGTGCCTTAGACTTAATTGAACCCTGCCACGAGTATAAAGGTTTCACTAATACAACTGATGAAACTAAAATGAGCAAGTTCACTGCTGAGGTTATCCGCTTTGCAGCTGCCTGCATGAATAGCCGCACAAATGGCACCATACACTTTGGAATAGGTGATGAGCCAGATTTCAGCCATGGACAAGTGTTGGGAGTGGTCGTTAAGGACAAAGAGGCCTATTTAAAGGAACTAAAATCTGCCATTGATGGTTACTTTGAGTATAAACACAAACAATCTGCTCAAAATTGCATCAAACCTCCTCGATTTGTTGAGGTTCTCAACAAGAATATGACATCTTCTGACAAATGTGTCATAGAAGTGGACATAGTTCCTGACTGTATGGTGTGTGAAGAAAGCATCTACCACACATTCAGCATGAACATTAAAAAAGCCAAAAAAAAAGGAAAAGGTAAAGAAACAGACGAAAATGAAACAAAACCATACAAGCAACTCTTTGTCCGAGATGGAGGTAGTAGCAGGAGTCTTCTCGCACCAACCACATCCACCAAACTGATGGAAGAGTACAACCAGTTTGTTGACGGTATGGCACAGCGGTCACAACTCCGGAAACAAGCTGAAGAGAAGCACCTCAATGTGATTAAAAGCAGTACCCAAGGCTCCAGACTCAGTCAGATGATAACTGGTGGAACCCTCTCTTTAGATAAGTCACACTTTGAGCGTTACGTGATAGTAACTAACAAATCACATTCAATCCAGTTAGAATCTTTAGGATTCCTCGTAGAGCTCAACCCAACAGCTGTTTTGGACTTTGATCCAGAATCAGCTAAACATGGTTTACAGTGTCACTTCGAACAGCAGAGTACAGTAAGTGTCCATTTACCAGCAAAGTATAAAATCACAGAAGGAGTCGAGGACATTGCAAACAAGTTGAAATTAACTCGAAACACCAGCTGGGTGTTCTGCAATGGAGGTATTGAGGATGAGACACCTTCAGACATAGATGAGTGGTTGATGGAAAAGGGAGCCTCAATTCGAGATGTGATTTCTTTCTTGTGTCGGAAAGATGTGCTTCCAAACAAGAGATTCCTTGTTATCTTTTTACTTTTGTCAACAGTGAGTGAGAGGATGGACCCTCTTGTTGAGACTTTCAGTACATTCTGGCAGGAGCTCAGAGGCACAGAGCAAATCCTTTGTATATGCGACAATGAAAAAGCATTTACCTCCTGGAAGGACCTAATTGATGCTCGGTGCTTGATCAATATCTCTGGAAGATGCATATATGATCTCAGCTTTGCTGAAGTCAATGGCACTATCCTAAGCCTTTTGTCCAAAAACCGTAGGTCCAGTCGTTTCCTACCCTGTGGGGGGGGAAGCAAAGTCTCCTTTGAAAAGAAAGTGGAGCGTAGCCTGAGTTCCTTAGAGGTCCTGTGTGTGAACCAATGTGATGGAGGAAACGAGGACCAAATTGTCACAGAGGAAAACTTCTACAAGGGAGGAAAAGTCTCATGGTGGAATTTCTATTTCTCAGAGCAGCCTGCATCCACACCATTTATCAAACGAGACAAGTTTGACTTCATCATGGACACAGTCATACCAGACTTGTGCTCCCTGAGAAATGCCTGCGTGGTGTTCAACCTTGTGCATGTGCCTGGATGTGGTGGCACAACTTTGGCCATGCACACTTTATGGGCTCTCCGGCACAAATTCCGTTGTGCAGTCCTCAGAGACAGCAATGCTGACTTTGCTGAAGTTGCTGATCAAGTGGTCAATCTTTTAATGTACAAACATGAGGAGAAATCACCACGCATCCCTGTTTTGCTGATGATAGATGACTTTGATGATAAGGAAAAAGTATTTGACTTGCAGCAGCTCATCGAGAAAGAGTGTGCCAAGAAAAGGATTCAGTCAAAGTCTTCACAGGTAATTCTTCTGAACTGTATGAGGTCAGAGTCGTCTGAACAGACTGAACAAACTGAAGAGACAGTATTCATTGGCAATGATCTCTCCGAGAAGGAGCAGGAACTGTTTGAGAAAAAACTTAAAGAAATAGAGAAGACACACAAGAATGCAGACACGTTCTATGGGTTCATGATCTTGAAGAAGAACTTCAAGCCAGAGTATGTTCAAGGAGTGGCCCGCAATACCCTAAAGAGCTTCAACATAAATCAGAAACATGCACAACTCCTGGCTGTTCTAGTTCTGTTGAAGGTATACTGCAACAGATCCTCACTATCTGTCTCCTTGTGTGAGGAATTTCTTGGTCTTCAACCAAAACCAGTCTGTGGGACCATCAAAGTTGAAGAAGGGTTTGGGAAATTCTCCACTTTAATTGGCACCTGCTCAGTTGCGGGTAAGGTAGTATTTAAAGCCGTGAAAATGATCCATCCAAGTATCGCTGAGCACTGTTTGCAGGAACTCACAACAACACACAATGTGAGCAAAGCTGATATTACTGACCTCCTGCTGACCACAGAAAAGCTTTATGAGAGCACACAAGGCAAAGACCAACTCCTGCAAGATGTTCACCACATTTTGGTGAAGAGATACCATTCAGTGGAGGAATCTCAGTTCTCTCCACTAATTCAACACATTGCAAGTGAAACCCCAGGACTCGAAGAGATGGTGCTACAAAATGCATCCAAACGATTTCCAAAAGATGCAGTTGTTTCTCAGTTACTGGCCAGGTACTATTACCTAAAGAAGAAGGACTTCTTAGAGGCAGCAGATTGGGCACGTAGAGCAAGGGAACTCTCCAACGACAGCTCTTATTTTGCTGACACATCAGCACAGGTTATCAAGCATGAGCTGAAAAATGCCATTGCAAACTACAAGGAGGAACCTATCAATCCTACAAAATTGGACGAGCTTCTCAAAATGGCCCAGTCAGCAATAGATGCGTTCAAGGATACACAGAGCATTGCAAAGAAGGAGTCATGGCTTCGATTGAAAAACTTGAAAGACAACCGCCCTTTCAACACAGCAGGGTGCCTGGGAGAAATTCAGGTCGGTGTAATTGTCATTGAAGTGCTGGCAAAGACCCCGGTGTTTTCTTACGACAATGTCCGCCATGACATTATGAGCGGGGTTCTCTCTGGAGATGTGAAACTTCAGGATGTAGAGAGAAATGATAAACGGCACCAAAAACACACACACTACTACACGATTCTCAGGCCGTTTGAGGATTTGCTTTACAGCCTCAGATGTAGGATGAAGGTGAACTTCGACTTCCTTGACAGTTTTTATGTGAACTTGGGCTCCAGATCTGGAATGAAAGACAATCGTGACCAAATAGCCCAAAATGAGCTTTTCAGATGTTTCAGAGTGTATGCAAATCTCTTCTGCAAGACATATTCTGCAGATCTTCTGAAGAATCAGGGCATGCAAACCATGCTGAAACTCCACGAGGCAAGACAATACCTGGAGATGCAAAAAGCTGACAGCTACTCTGGGATTCTGATGTGTCTCTCAAACAAGATCTCATCTGATACATTGAAAAAGATCGGCAGACAGTATGCGTTCCTTTGTGAACATCCCCATAGGCCGACTGTGAGGGAAAGAATCAACTTCATCTACGTCAATGTTGTGTTGAGTTGTATCAAACTGGAATCAAAATACATCCTGCCATACCAGAAACTATTAGATCTCCTTTACCAAGTCATGCGTGAGCAAATCCCAATAAGTGAGACTTTGTCCCTTTACTTCATTGCCGTTGTGTTGTTGTGGCCACAGCAGTGCAATCAGCAGAATGTTCTACCTAGAAGTCTGGGGATGTGCATCTCACAGATGAGGACCTCCTATCGCACGGAGATGAAGGAAGTGTACAATGGAAAGAGGCCCATTGTCCATTTCTTCCTGGGGAGGAAACAGGGCTATGAACGACTTGTACACCTAGGGGAAATCACAAAGTGCATCAAGGCTGGGCAGGAAGAGTTTGCTGTGAAGTGGGAAAATGGCAAAATATGGAAAGAGAAGGAGGTGGAGACGCGCCTTTGCAGGGTCACTGGCGAGGTGAAGAACAACTTGATACTGGCAGATACTTGTATCCCAAACCTGAAGATTGAAGTCACCCCAATGTTTCGAAGTCAGCTTTGTGCTCATGCCGAGGGGTCAACAGTGTCCTTCTTCACTGGTTTCTCAATGAAAGGCCCTGTTGCACTGGACATTAACTAAACTTTGAAAGCAGCCTGTTCCAACATACTGTAGCTTTCAGCTAATCATTGCATCCCTCTGTTCATACACACTGGCTTAAAAGTAAACAGTGATGCAAAATCAACCAATGTACAGCTATGTTCTGTGTTCATCCCAGGCTCTGTATATTACATTTTTCAGTCTGTTGTTTTGTAAAGTAAAATAATTGTCAAGTATAACGTTAAAATCCAACCTATTGAAAATGTATTGTGTTAGAATGTGTACTCACGCTCAGATCACTGTAAATCATTTTTAACAATGATGAAAATCAAAATTATATGACCTGAAAAGGAATTCAACTATTACTTTTTTGCATGTTCAGGATCAACTAAATACAAATGTTGTGTGGCAGTTTGATAATATTGCTCCATGAAATGAAATGATGTGCTTTATATATTTAAGAACACATTAAGTTGTGAAATAATTCTAAGAATTTGAAATGTTTTGCATCATGTATCTGGGATTCATCATGTTCCATAACGGTCACTTTTCTTTTAAATTGAAACTATTTTGCTTTTGATAGTCTTTGAACAATGTTTGTAGCTTTATATAACTAATATTGAAATGTTGATTTGATTTGTTTTTCTATATTCATTATGAATTATTCATCATATATATATCAACAATAATACTTTTTAGCTTTTGAGTTACTTTACTTTTGAGAGTTTGGTTCAATCACATTTTCTTATACCATTCAATGAGAAACAATGAGCATTCATTTTTTGCAATAACTCTAATAAAGATGTAATGAAACCTTAACATGTAAGAAATTATTTACATTCAAATGCAATGTTTTTATTGGCTATCCAGCCAAACGAAAGAAACATCACTATCCTAAAACTTTGTATCACAAAATCTATTTCTTGCCTTGTACTCTATGTTCTGGGCCTTAGTTATTAATGTAATATAAAAATAACTTAAAGAAGAAAAACTGGTCTAGAATAAAATTACTTTTTCACATAACTCCAAATACGACATTATTTGGAATGTACACAAATCCTGAAATCAGCCTTTGATTTAAAACTAAACTTTCAGAGGAGACTTTGAAAGAAATAGCAGTTTATAGAATTTCTTCATCTCAGTCACTCAGAATTTATTTATAATATAATATAAAAATGAAACATATTTTACACCCCACACAACAATAATACATGGATACCTGTTTGACGTGTTTAAGATAATGTGGATTTAGGGAGGCCAATTATTTGAAAATATTTTTGTTATAACTGAGCAAAACCATAATGTAACAAGCCTCAAATGGCGCATTTCCATTGCAGCGCGTAGCTCGCTTTAAGCGTGCCGTGTCGTGCCGTCCCCTTTTTTGGTTGTGCTTCCACTAGGCCTCGTTCCGGCGCGGCACGGCGCGGGGCCACTTTTTCCCCTCTTTTCTGGCCCTAGAAAATTGTGGTTCTATCGGGGCCAACAAACAGGGCTGAGTCGGGCTGAGTATGCTAAACTAGAGAGAGGAGCGCTGGCAAGAGGGCTAGAACTACAACAAGATGGACATATTTGACCGTGATTTAATTGTAATACACGTTTCAAAATGATGCCGAAGTAACAACATACTGATACCGGTTAGTAAAAACCATGAATTAATGCTTTGTCAAGTCTGCAGACAGACGGCAGGCGAAAAACCTTTTAAAATTCGTGTTTTTCTAGATGGAGATTGGCTAAGCTAACGCAGTATATGCCCCGACCGTCCACACTCACAACAACGGCCTATACAGACATAAATAAGGCAGCGACTGTATTCACCATGACACAGGCAGTCTGTGGTGTGTACTTGTTTAACTTTTGTCGAGTTTCTGAACATATATAAGGAGCTGTGAGCTCTGAGTGCTCACAGCTAACGGCTGTGTTGTGTTTCTGGATTTCTCATTGAAGATGACGTCACGGCTCCGCCTACACTGCGTTACTATAGGAACTACCCCAGTTCCTAAACTGTAATGGAAGCGCAGCATGAAGTGAGTCGGCCCTGTTAAGGCCCAACGCGGCCAAGCCGTACCGAGCCGTACCGAGTGTGGCCGAGGCCGACCGTGTAGTGGAAATGCGCCAAAATACTCCTGCTCTCTGACGCTTTACCTGGGCGGGGTATACAAAGCGGCTGCAGGCCTTTTCTAGAGCAAGTGAAAAATCAATCGATCAGTAAAATAAACCAAATCCAGAACCACCTATTTTAAAAGATTGGTAAGGCTTGGTAAAATAAATTGGTTAAAAATTCAAAAAAATATGTTTTATTTAAAGACAAATGGGATGGTTCCAAATTCTGTGAAGTTTGCAATAAATGGTTGGAGATAACTTGGAAGCGAGCAGACTTTCTAAGACCCAACTAACATTTCTCCTTTCCTCTTCTTGATGGGAATAGTAGATCCTAATCTATTAAATGTTGGTTTTATTGTATTAAATCAGATTGACAAATTGAAGCAGAAGAACGCACAGGCACGTAGATTGTACACATGAGAGTATGCAGGTAGATAGATGTGTATGTGTGTATATGAAGACAGATATACTTGCATGCAGACCACTAGAAGTAAAGATGGCTAAAACCTTTCCTAAGGATTGAGTTAGGGCCAACACGTACTTTTTAATACCTCTTATTGTGCATAATGCATATATTAGTTTGTGTCAAAATACTTTTCAAAATGTTGTCATATTACCTTTACCAACCAAAGATATACAAACTGTATAATGATGAATTATGTATTGGAGGTGAAGTACTTTTTGTGTTTTTACCAGTAACGCACACAGGAGGGCGCAACATCCTCAGAAATGATTAAACCTGTGCTATAATTCCAGTTTGTGGCTGCCTTTAGTTCAACACCACATATAGAATAGTTATTCGACACCAATACAATGAAAAAATACATCTTAAAATGTTATGCCACTGGACAATACTGAAATGAAATAAATTAATGTACACCGTATGTAAATATAAGGCACATATTCAAAAGCAGTTCACAGGGTGCCAATACACTTGAGAAACTCTTCATTCAGGATGCACAATAACTATTGACAGATGTTTGTAACTGAACTTGAGGGTGAAGGAGCGAGGCGAAAGAGTAACAGGGTCGACAAACAGAGGAAGTCCCGCCTCCCTGGATGACGGACAGTGTGACTTGTCTGAGGTTTGAATGGACAACGGGGCAGCTTCTCACTCAGCCGTCTCTATTGAGCACATACTTACATCCACCAGCTCCTGGGGGGGGGGGGGGGGCAGATGCAGTGTCAGTGTGTGGTTCTGGATGATGAGCGGGGTGTGGAGCCCCTTACTGAATATGTATGCTGCTTTCTGGCCTTTCTGAGCTCAGGTTCCCCGCCTCAGGAGACCGGCAGAGTCTGTGTCACGCTGTGTCAGAGCAGCAGATGGCTCAACAAGTGACACACATCTGTAAGGGATTGGATGTCTGCATTTGAGGAGAAAGCTTATAGACACTAAAAAAACTTCACGCATCTGTTCAGTTTGAATAGCTTTAGTCACACTAAGTTTGGTAGGTTCACAAAATGCCAACAACAAGCTAATTTGGTCTTTAGTATGCAGCGTCAGTCAGGATGGATTGAGTCAAATGTGAGGTATATGTGGCTCTGCAACACATGGCTGAAAGCTATCTTCAAAGGGTCTTCTTTTAGGGGTCAAAGGTCATTCTGGTGATAAGTGTGTCCTTCCTATATCATATTGTAGTGAAAGGGAGCTGTGGGTTCCAAACACAGGCTAGGTGTAAACAGTGGTGGAAAGTAACAAAGTACATTTACTAAAGTACTGTATTTAAGTCCATTTTTGAAGTATGTGTACTTTACTTGAGAAATTCCATCTAATGCTACTCTATACTTTAAATAATTAATCACATTTACTAATTCATTTATTATTTATTAAGCTTTAGTGACTTTTCAGATTAAGATGTTGCATTAAGTTGCATGTGATCAACTTAAAACATAATATAATGTGAAATCTAAAATATTTCAAGTGGACTGACTGTTCAAGGTACAAAAGAAGTATACAATATAATACAAAAAGTTTTGCCGTAACAGTGAAATGCTACAATATTAATAATCAGATAATGTCATGATATATCACATAATGGAGGCCATTTCTCTGCAGAATTGTTCTTTCACTTTTTATGCTTAAGTACATTTTCTTTTGATAATACTTAGTAGTTTTACTTTAGAATTTAGGAGCTCTACTTGTTATGGAGTATATTGACATTAAAGTGTTGCTTTATAAAGTAAAGTATTTACTTCTGTTAAGGATCTGAGTACTTCTTCCACCTCTGATCATAATCAAGTCATTTTTACCTTTGGTACTTCAGGAAATAACTTGATGCTGATACTTTTAAAGTAAAATGTTGAATACAAGGCTTTTACTTGTAACTGAGTACTTAAAAAATGTAGTATTACTACTTTTAATTAAGTAAGAAATCTGAGTCTACTTTTCCCGAGTGGCTTTGTGAGTCACTGATGTTCTGCCTCTTTGGCAGAGAGGGTCAACAAGTGGTGCGTTCACACCGGAGTACTTTTCCCACAATAGTTCATCAGAACTACGATATATTTGCGTTCACACCAAAAAGCCCCAGGAACTAAATTAGTTCATCAGAACCATTTTTACCCCGTTTTCAGTCCCTGCTAGAGAGCAGGGACTTTCGTGGGAGAAAAAAGTTCACACGTCTGATTGGCTGTGCGGAATGCAAACCACTCCCCGTTTAACTCTGATTTTTTTTTTTGGAGCGGCCATTGTATTTGCTGGCATTATTAGCCCAGCGCACCAACGCGAGTACTTTTGTGAAAGCAGTTATTATGGCAACAATAAGAATAAGAAAATCATCGGAGCGGTGGAGTGATGAGGATGTGTCGGCACGTCTGGTGATTTACTCGGAGGATGGGATCCAGCAGCTTCTACTGACGGCAGTTTCCAACTGCAAAATGTATCAGCGTTGTTCGGTAAAGTTAGCCGACATGGGAATCTTCCACAGCGCACACTCATGCCGGGCAAAATAAAGAAACTAAAGCAGGACTACAAACAAATAAAAGACCATAATAACAAGAGTGGTAATGGCCGGAAGACCCGTAAATGGTATGATCGATTGGACGCTCTGCTCGGCCACAGACCCTCATTCTCCGGCACTTGTGGTGAAACAGCGGATTCAGTGAGAAGCCCCTCAATGCAGTGCGCAATGCCTCAATGAGCTCAATGTGGGCGGGAGCTCAACGTGGGCGGAGCTTCACAGATGACGCGTTGCATCCTGTTTCCCGGTAGGAGTTCTCTTCCCTCCCTTCAATCTAACCCTTCCCTTCCCCCCATCCTAACCCTAACCACTCCCTACCTTTTTACCTAATCCTAATCTTCCTTCCTCCCTCCCAAACCTAGTACCATAGACTGTATATATAAATGGACGTAGGGTCCGTGACGTCACCCATAGGATTCTGCAGAGTTGCCGAGAAGCCCTTAGTAGGCGGAGTCGGCCACTAACGGCTCGACAGTGGCGTCAGAGTTCCACTCCCGCCTGCTCCAAATAAGGGCAAAGAGGCGGAGCCGAGGCGGGACCTGCTGCCTCCGAGCTGGAAGTAACAGAGCTAGCTCAAGCTACCAAGCTAAGCTAACATGCTCCCCATCTGCACACTGCCGTCGCATTGTACGTTTCTAAGGTAAGCGGACATGAGACTATTCAGCAAAACTATAAATAATAATCTAAGTTGAGTTTTTAGCATAATACTTCAGAATCTTAAAATCCCTTAACGTTTGTATGCAATGTGCTAAATGCAACACT